CGGACGAAGAGCTGGAGGCGTATCGCAAAGGAGAACAGTGGGATCCGCAGCTGGCAGAACAGCGACGCAGACTAAAAGTAAGTCTGTGGGATTAAAACAATGAAATAATGCATCAGGTGATATCAGCGCACTTAGAAATCAAATGCTATATTTTGTTGAAGTGTATTCTTATTCCTCAGACCAGTTGGTGGTGAGTTATTGCAACTTTTACAGAAAGAATGTTGACGTTTTACCACAACATGCAATAAAATACCAACAAACTGAATGGGGTTTTTAGAGACCTGCTGTCAAGATATATGTAGCTTAAACTCTTTCTTCTGACCTTTATTTGAAGTTTTGGGTAAATAAATATTAGAAATGATGTTGTTTTAATAAATGGACAAACAAGAAATATCATTGTTGTATCTGATTTGGACAAATGTCTGATACAGACAAAGTATCTGACCTCTACACCTACAAAAAAAAAAAGCTGTGTGTTATCTTTGATGACGTTCTTCTGTTCTGTCAATCGTCATCAAGTTTAATATTGTAAATCTGATCTGTGCCGTCAGCATATCCCAGTATTGTCTATACTGAATCTGTTTTTCTAAATTACCTATAATTACGAGGTTGTGACTGGAAACCAGATGCTCCCCAATACTCTGCACCTGTTTGTTTTACAGAGACATTTATGCTTTTTATTGAGCTGTTCTAGCATTTTCCATAGTTCTTGTTCAAAACGCTGACGGATCTGTTGTGCAGTTTAAATCCAAGTGAGAATCTGTGACAATCCACAGATTGCACAGAAATGATTCTGCACATTTTTACTGAGGCTGCAGCGTTGGTACAAACGCTTAGCAAACTTTTTCAGTTTATTCTTCTTGAAGCATTTTTAAAACCAATTTCTTGGCCTAAAACTAAAAGTTCACAAACATTTGTTTTTATAGTGAAAAGGTTAGACGTACAGTCCTGGAAAGATGAAGAGTCCACTGCACTGAACCCCATTGAAAACCTGGTTATTCTATCAAATATTGATTTCTGAACTGAGTTAAAACATTAGTGTTGTTGTTTCTAAATGAATATGAACTTGTTTTCTTTGCATTATTTGAGGTCTGAAAACACTGGATCTTTTTCATGATTTTGACCACTTCTCATTTTCTGCAAATAAATACTGAATTTTTGCTTGGAATTTCAGAGACATGTTGTCAGTCGTTCATAGAATAAGAGAACGATGCTCATTTTACTCCAACGTACCTTTAATCAGTAAAATTTAAGTGGTTTAATTTTTTAAAAGACACTCTGTCGAATACCTTCCATCTTTTATTTTATTTTTTCCCGAATTAATTTCCTGTTTTCTCCCCCTCACAGGAACAGGCTGCACTAGAAGAAGCAGCATCCACTCAGACAGAAAAGACACAAGCATGTCCCAACTCCAACTACAGAGACAAGTACAGTCACCTGATAGGCACCTCGGCTGCTAAAGACGCAGCTCACACGCTGGAGGCGAACCGGAGTTACGGCTGTGGTGAGGACTTCCGCCGCCGCACGTAAAACGGGTAGATACTTCAGCTGTGAATCCTTCTCCGTATTCACGCTGCGGTTGTTTGTCTCCCTCTCTCTGTCGGCAGTGCCGGTGGCCAACAAGAGGGACACGCGCTCCATAGAGGAAGCCATGAACGAAATCCGAGCGAAGAAGCGGCAGAAGCGCGAAGACGACACGGGGGCACAGAGCAGCAGTTTCTGAGTTCCCGCTGTTGCTGCCGTGTGTGGATGCGTGTGTCATTTTGTGTGCGCAGTTCGATTCTTCTGTTGATGCAGTTTCCCGTACTTTAGGATTTAAAAGTATAGCTTGTTGACTGGCCAGGCTTTACGTCTGTATGAACATCACTGTGACCTGAAAGCCTGCCCAGTGGACGATATTTAGGATTATTTGTACGTCTTCCTGCCATGTTCTGTTAGTCGTCGGATGCCACATGCCATTTTAAACCGTAACAGTATGAGTCAATTGTTTGGAAAGTGTCTTGTCATTCAGAGAAACATGACGATAGATCATCTTTAAATAAAATCTTTTGTTGCTTAATTATAATTTTGATGCAGCTGCATATTTTTAAAAAATGTTAGGAAAAGTTTTACTGCTTAATATCACTGCTAATTTTGTACCTTGGCTGTATTTTTAGCAAGTTGCAGCTGCAGATTTCCATCGATAATGTTTAAAAATCCCCAGTGTACGTAGAAGCAAACTTTACCTCTTTACCAGCTTCTTGTCAGTTAGTTTTTAATTAAGGGTCGATCTTTTTTTTTTTTTACTTTGAAAGGTTAAACCTTGCTAAATGTGTCCATCACAGGAGTAAGCCAGTTTTATCTGAATTTTTAAATGTGATTTTTGCTTTGTTTCTACACATCGGCACTGACTTGAGCGTCTTAGTTTAATTTTTTTTTCTTTTTTTCATTTTAAGTCAGGCAACAGGTGTCGTACCACTAAAATGGAGTAAAGATACAAAACTCCTTTTAGTGTTAAGATTTATTTAATCATCAACAGACTTTGAACCAAGGAGGAATAACGTGGCGTCATTATGTCTTTTTAAACAGGATAACCTTGTTTTGTTTCCATGTGTGTTAATAAATGCTGCTTACAACTTTGTGTTACCTTTACTTTTGTACACTCCTGGCACACTTCTTATTTTTTAGCATTTTAATACACCAGTATGCTTTAGAACCACATTAAAAACATGCTGTGTGAAATATATTGCAGAATAAAAGATTTGCACTACTGGATCCTAAGTGCACTGTTACAGCACTATATGTTTTATTCATAATCTATCCCTAATATATTTTTAGAATAATTTAGAGGAACAGCAAAAGTTATTTTTTATAATGTAGGACTGAAGATTTTTTTCTTAAGTTTTCAAAATGTGTATAGTTTTTATCCCCAAAACTATATGAGGGATAAACTTGCTTTTTATATTTTCAAAGCTTAATACCAAACTGCAGCTCCAGTATGTCCTGACTCTTATGGAGAGTGAAGAGAGTCAAATGACAATAACTTATGTAATAATTACTTAAGTATGTCATTTGTTTATTAAAACTCTTCACTGTCCATGGATCTGTTTTTTCATCCGATATTAAATAATATAAATGTATTCATAAATTGCTTATTTAAACATGTACAATAAAGTTTTGTAAAGAACATTTTATTTTTCTTTATCTTTGATTAATTTATGCAAATATAAGTCCATATAATTCTTAGTTAAATGTTCAGCTTGGATTTAATTTAAACGTAAATCATGACGTTTTAACATCATGTTTTGATGTTTCTGAACTAAATAAACTATTTATTGGTGAGAATCCAGATCTGTTCAGTTCATTACCAACTTCAACGGTGATCTCCACAGAAACAGACGCTCGGCCTTCAGCGAAACCAGCAGTCAGATCCGCTTTTCTGTCAAAAAATCAGCTAGTTTCAACCATATTTATTATCTTTCAAGTCCCTTACTTTACTGTGATCCATTTACTTTTATAAAAGTTGTAAAATTGCAAAATATAAAAACAGAATTTTCCTCCTTTTTTCAATTTTCTCTAATGTGTTTTGAAAAAATAAAAATCTAGTTAAAATAGCAATAAAGCTGAACTGATAATGTGCAGTAGTTGCATAAAACAACATGGTGATCAAACTGTGTATTAACATGCAAGACAACAGCTCAGTGTGGCTACAGCCCCTAAGAACTTTCTGTCAGCTGTGATCCTGAATTATGCCACAGCGTCATGGCAGCACAGTACTTCCCATACATGGAGGGGAAAAAATCAGCAGTCTCTCAGTCTATTGAACAATAAAAAATATAAGCAAGCAAAAAGCTTATTTACTATATTTTTACACCATCATAAGCCACAAATGGTGTCAAAATGTACATTTTCTGTGTCATATTAAAACAATTCTCTTTCATGCTCGGTCTTCAGTGAGAGACAGTTCAGGACGCCCCCTTGTGGACTTAAATAATCCCTTCACTCTTTTCAGAACAAGTTTTCTGATTACAACCACGAGTTTCAGACAAAACAGGAAGATTTCTGAAATAAAAGCTCCTGTTCCATCAGTTTTCCGCAGGTAAATACGTAAATGGAACCATCAAAAGCCAAATAACAAACTGATATTTTAAAACTCAAAATACACGTTTCACTTTACGCTGACCCAGAAGAAGAGCTGTTGAATATAGTCATTTCCGACTATGAGCTCTCATTCATTTTTGCAACATTTTTCTGTTGGATAATAAATTAAGGAACAAAAGTTTTTATGTTTTTCTTGCTTTAGTCGCAGAAATGCAAGGTAGGTTTCTGAATTATGACAGGAACTTTTTTTTACCGTCTTTAAATAAAGATACAAAAGAAATGAAACCTGTGCACAAAACAACAGTTTCTCTGTTTTTCCACATGTAGCACTGTTTAATGTGCTGTAAATTTGAATTAAAAAGAGCTGAACCCCATTTTGTCCACATTGGAAATGAATCACGCATGCGCAAAGCTGCTTCTCGTCAGATTGTCCTACCATAACATGGATAGATAGCTATGTACGGAAGAGGATTAGGGCCACTGGAAAAAACATAAAATAAAATTATAACTTTAATTTCAGAATTTTTACTTGTTTCTCAGAATTCTGAAATTAAAGTTTGAATTTTTTTTTTCCAATGGCCCTAATCCTCTTCCGTAGCTATGTCTATCTGTCAGTGCTAATGCGCAGGTAGGATGTATCTGCTGGGTAAGCAGTATGTGACATAGCATCGATGTACGCATGCGCACTACCACAAGGTAGGACGGTTTAATGGGTAGCACAGATAGTTAGAACACCTGTTCTTTTGGCTCCCAGTGCAGCTCTTAGTTTGTCATCACCCGTAACCTCTTATTTTAGCTTCACCTGGCGAATATGAATGTTTTCAAAGCCCCAAACATTTCCACCGAGAGCAACAAAATGATTAACAGTTCTTTATATAAACATTGCTGCTTTCCCTATTTGGACTTTGCCTGCACAATCCTGATGTTCACTCCACTGTCATCACAATTTGCCTCCTGAAGAAGGCGCCATAGAATAACCTAGACAAATATTGGATTTTTTCCCCCCTTTTTCGTTCTTCCTCTAAATCTTTGTTTCACACTGTCCTGCAGTTTTGTTTTTTTTACGTCTCACTGAAACGCACATGTATTGTGCACTGAAGACTCAGTCACGCACATGTGGGGAAAAAAATGAAGCCTATGTTTTTGTTCTTTTTCATCATGTGGTTTCCATCCGCGGAGCTGAAACCTCGGAGAGGTAGGAGCCGATTCTGTTGATGACTTTTTATCTTTTTTATCCCGATCAGACGCGCGGAGGCTCTTAAAATGGGAGGAAAGAGACAAAAAGTGGGGCTCCGCTCGGATTGTGTCGCAGCTCTCTGATCTGAACCACACATATGGTGTTTTGTTAAACCTATTCTGTCATAAAAGTTCAACAATAACAATAAACAGTGTTTGTTTTAATTGCGAAAAAACAAAATCGTGACGAGATTTCCGTTTTGAGGGAAAATGTTGATGGTTTATTTGTGACACTCAGGCTCCGGAGTGGTTTGTACTTTTAAAGACAAAACCTACAGACCAGGAGACAGCTGGCATCCCTATCTGGAGCCTTTTGGATACATGTTCTGCATGCGCTGCGTCTGCACAGAGGTACTTTTCCCAAACAAGGGGGATTCGGTCCGTAAAGGACGGTGGGTGGATGAAGGTGCTTTTAAACATGTCACTTCTTCCCTCAGACAGGCCATGTGAAGTGCAACACTATCAAGTGTCCTGCGCTGGCGTGTGAGAACCCCGTGACAGAGCCTCAGCGGTGTTGTCCAAGGTGCACAGGTATGCTCCGGCGTTGGCACCTCCGGGCGCCAGAGAGAAGCGCAGTGACGGTGCATGTGTGTGACGTGTCCTCCTCCCCTTCCTCCTCAGATGAGCCCAGGATCCCCGCAGGGCTGAGGGCGCCAGTCAAAACCTGCAGCCACAACGGGACTGTCTATCAGCCAGGGGAGACCTTCACCATCCAGAGCCTCTTTTCATCCAGGCAGAGCAATCAGTGCGTCATGTGCACATGCTCAGTAAGTTCCATCCAAGTCTAGGAGAGTCATCAAGATTTTTGTTTTTATTTTTAATGTTCTGGTTAAAGGATATACATGTAAAAAGACAATAAAAAGTAATTATAGAGGAAAACATCCAGCAGCATTTTCAGGTCCCCGTGGAAACAAAAGCCCAGTTATGTTAGTTATTTCCTCTTCAAAGGGGAATATGGGAAAGTGCAGCGAAGAAGCTGCAGTTATTCATGTAGCACTACTGGTAAAGATGTAGATAGAGCATTAAAAATTAATCTTCCCTTTTGTATTATTAAAAAAAAACACATGATCCAATTGATATCTTGAAATATGTGATCAAATGAATCCAGTCATAGACAGAGATTAACTTCGATCCGTTGAATCTATTTAAAATCTCGCTCAATGGGGATTTTTATATTTTGCTTTTTTATATTTTGCTTTTTTGAAGTTGTGAATCACTCAGGATCGACGTTCGGCTTGAGGTGATCCAAAGGATCGATGTGTCGAGAAGCTTCTTAACTCCACTGTACGGTGGAGGAGTCATGATTCTGTGGGCCTGTTTCTTTTCGAATTGGTCAGTAAATGTCTACATGGACAAAGCTGCTGTCCTTAACAACCAAAAACAAGTTATTCAAAAGTTGAAACAACAATATTGAAACATACTGTAAAATGTGTCTGTGTCTGTAAAATGCCCTGAGATGATTTTTTTTTAACCAGATGTATCAACAAATAAAGAAGACGTTGTAGAGTAAACTAAAAACTGCAAGTAAATGAGCTGTAATATCCATTTTTGACACAAGAATCATCATACTGCTGAGATCTCTGCACTGCCACTATTTCTAAGTCATTTATGCTCAGGTGGTTAAAATGTAGAACGTGATGTGAAACTGTGCGGAACAACTTTAATTTTGCACACTGTTTCTTTTTATGTGGTTGCAATTGTATTTTTTCCCACCGCCATCTGTGCCCGCCATTGCTAATGCTGCGCACTGCAAGTGGAGGCACATTGTGAAATCACATTAACAGCATGCAGAAGGTGAAAACATCTCACTGTAGTCACGCTCGGTTGTGATCACCAGAGGAAAAGCAGAGAAGTGCAGCCAAAGCCGAACTCGATGTGGTGCTCTTTGCGAGGCCACCTGATGTGAGAAGTTAATGAATCTGAAAATGTGCAACCATAAACTCAACACCAACAGCTTCAAGTCATGTTTTTTGTACAACAGAGAAACTGTGTCACATTTCCTCCATCTGTTGGATTTTTCAATTGCAGTTTTGTCTTTGCCACAACCAAACTGCACATAGATCATGTTTCTTTTGTTTTATGCAATATGCTTCATGTTACTAAATGGGAAAAAAAATCAGGTTATGATGGTTATTTCAAAGTTGGACACTTTGGTGATGATTCTTTTCTCTTCTCTTCTTTTCTTTTCTTTTCTCTTCTTCTATTTTCTTTTCTCCTTCCTTTTCTTCTCTTCCCTTTCTGTTCTTTCTTTATCTTTTCTTCCCTTTTCTTTTCATTTCTTTTCTCTTCTTTTCTCTTCTTCTATTTCCTTTTCTCCTTTTTCTTCTCTTCCCTTTCTGTTCTTTCTTTTTCTTTTCTTCCCTTTTCTTCTCTTTCCTTTTCTTTTCTCTTCTTTTATTTTCTGTTCTCCTCTTCTCTTTCATTTTCTTTTCTCGTCTTCATTTTCCTTTTCTTTTCTTCCCTTTTCTCTTCTTCTCTTTCCTTTTCTTTTCTTCTTTTATTTTCTGTTCTCCTCTTCTCTTTCCTTTTCTTTTCTCTTCTTCTTTCCTTTTCTTTTCTCGTCTTCATTTTCCTTTTCTTTTCTCCTCTTTTCTATTATTTTCTTTCCTCTTCTTCTCTTTCCTTTTCTCTTTTTCTTTTCCTTTCTCTTCTTCTCTCTCCTTTTCTTTTCTCTTCTTCTCTTTTCTTTTCACAGAATGGAAACATCTTCTGCGCTCTGAAAACATGCCAACCTGTCACCTGTCCTTCACCAGTTTCTCTCCCAGATTCCTGCTGTTCGGTGTGTAAAGGTAGCCAAACTCCTCCAGTCGAATAAAAAAATTCACTTTTTATTTCTGTTTTCATCTTTAAAAATATCTAGGTGTAACATTAAGACAGGGAGGATTATATTTCTGTAACATGTCTGATCTACACTGATTGTAAAATTCAAGTTCTTTAGTATTGAACAATAAACTGGTGTTGAACAAAAGGAGTGCATACTAACGGAAAGTAAAGAAAATCTGCACTATATGGTAAAAACGACTACAAAGCATACATGGAAAAAAATACTTGGAATGGACCAGCAGGAATAAAAAATATTTCAATCTGAATGAACGTCGTTTCAAACTTAAATTACGTTTTTCTTCTCAGACCACAGCAGCAGCAGCGGCTCATCGTCCACCGAGGATGGAAACCATCAGCTGAACAGAGGCGTCGTACGTATCGTATCTTAGACTTTTTCACATTTTAATCGTCTCATCAACAAATACATCATGTAGGTTAGATAGGCCAACACAAAAAGACGTGTGTTGGATGAACTGTGAAGTGGAAGGAAAGTGAAACATGAAACCCCGGAGGCTTTCACAGATGAGCTGAGACTCTATCACACCGACGTGAACCGGACCGGTGTATCAGACTTAAGGCGGCTGAATACATATGAACATCATATTTTTTATTTATAAAATACATTTTAACGTCACTTTCTTTCTGCTGCATCATTATGCTCTTCTTTGTGTTTTTCTATCTCACAAGATGAGCTAAAAATACCCAAAAGGTAAATAGTTGTAACGTGATAACATATAAAAAAGCTGGAACTACAGATGGAATGAAAGATGCAGTTTAATAAAAAAAGAACATTTAGTTCCTGACGAGGATCCTCTGTGTTTTTATCGGTTTCTACTTTTCAGATTATGTTTTGAGGTATTGGGTTTGATCCAGTGATTAAAAAGCAAAGATTTCCATTTTTCCCCCTTCAACTTCCACAGACCGTTTGGCAACAGCGACTACCCTTACTGCCAACGCTTCTTCCTTTTAAAATAGCCGGAAAAGCGATGAGATGTCAGCTTTTTATGATTTAGGACATGATGTGACGCTCTCGCAGCTATCAGTCAGATAGAGGGGAAAAAAGCAAGCCGAGCCAACAGCTGAATAGATGACCAAGTGTTTTTTATTATGTCTGCATTCACAACAGAGGCATTCAGTCGACCAGTGTTCTGGCGAGCAGAGCAGGGTGAGGTCGGACCGTGCCACCAGGATGAAGGCCTCTGCCAGGGCTCTGAGCCTCAGCAGGCTCAACCTCAGAGGGGCCCCGGAGACCACGGTGAGGATTTTACTGCAGAGGAAACACCAGCGAGGTGAGGCTTTTATGCGCAAACACAAAGATAGTATGTAGCCGTTTGAATTTGTTGGCACGTTCCTCACACGTTTACGATTGTTCCCGTATGCGCCTCACATGTTTCCTATTTGTCTCAGTGTGTTTATACAATGGCAAGACGTACTCTCATGGAGACATGTGGCATCCAGTTTTGGGGAAGGTCCTGGAATGCATCGTTTGCACTTGCATCGATGGCCTCCAAGACTGCAAGCGCATCACGTGTCCGGGCCAGTATCCGTGCCAGCATCCAATAAAATTGGCTGGTAAATGCTGCAAGACTTGTCCAGGTAAAGGTACATGTGACTCACAGGCACGACGAGGTGACTGCACCGATAACCATGGCAACATTTTATCCTTTAAATCTCTTTCTCTGTGTTTTTTAAATTTTTTTTAATTTTTTTTCCTCTGCAGAGAGAAAAGCTGAAATGAACCAGACCCAGTGCTACCCTGGGTATAAAAACAACCTTTTGGTGTATAAAGTAGAACGAGTCTTGAAAGTTGATTCTCCCAACACGGTTAGAATCATCGCTGCTCAAAGACAAAGCACTGCTGAGATTGAAGTGCAAGCCTGGAACACAGCAGAAGGTATTGTGGACTAGAAAAAAAATACATTTAAAAAAATATGTCTGTGAAAGTCAGAAGACAGGATTGTATTAAACTGTGTGTGTTTATTCAAAGATTTTGTTTTCACTTGACAGAAAAAGCTGGTAAAGAACTTGTCAATACGAATGTTGTGGGAAAAAGTATTTGCTTCTTATTCTCTTGTTGCTTTTTTGATCGAGTTAACCGTTTCAGATTGAGCCCATTTTAATGCCAGAGAACCTGAGTACATTCAAAAGTAGTTTTCAAGTCAAGTGATGATATCATCAAAAGGAAGGGGAAATGCATAAAAATCAACTTGAGGGATGAATGAAGTGAATAAATGAAACAAATAATCATCATCATCATTTGAAAACTGCATTTTGTTTTTGCTCAAGTTTGTTTGACATGTTTAAACATGTCAAATGTCCTGGTCTAGGTACTTTACAAATAATGGAGATTGGCAACGTTCAAAGGAAAGACATCACAGATCATCCGGAAAATTACACTCTTCTTACCGCTCTTGATGAAGGTTTGTGTTCTTCTGTTATTTATGCTTTTAAATACATTCACATTTTATTGCAGCAGCATATTTTTCAATAATAATTATAGGTTGGATAAGAATCCAACCTAAAATTTCAGTACATCCACCAAGAATATATCAAAGTAATTACTGGTACATTTGTCAGCATCCCTGTCTACACACAAACACTTCTTAACATCTTCTATAAAACTTCAGATACAAATCTTGTGCTTTTCCTGGGTTGCTTCCAAATAACCAGTCAGCATGCAGATACTGTTGACTTGTTGACGCCGAGATGAGACGAGGAGTCGAAAACCAAAACCAGGAATCCTGATGCTGAAAAGCTTTAGAGCTTCAGCATTTGATTTTTACAAATAGATCCAGCTGATCCGGATTCATGAGCAAATCCACCCACAAAAGACGGGAGGAATGGACTCACACATTTTAAGAATATCATCTTGCTTGTGTTTTGGCAACGGCAGAAAGGAAAAGCATCTAGAAACCAAATAGTGGATTATCACATTATGAGACCATATTTCTCTGTTTACTTGCTTTATGTGTCCTATAAGTATTTTGACACATTTTACTCAGTTCGTGTTTATCTTATTTAAGTAAATTTAAATGTTTTTTGTTGTTGTTTTTTTTTACTTTTTTTTTCAGACACGTGGACAAAATTTAAAGAGTTGGGAGAAAACCTGAGCAGAGCTTCTCAGACCACCATTTGTGGAAACGGCATTCGGGAAATAATGACGTTCTTGAATCCAAAGCAAACTGAAGGCCTGTGTTCACCATAGCAACCACTCATGATATCAGTATTCACACTCAATTGTGTATCAAATGACATGTTATTCATACAAGCTGCACTTGTTTTATTTTATTTTATTTTATTTATGCAAGTGAACTTTCTTACTCTTAATGTTTTTTATGCATCTTTGCCATTTTTGTCTGGTATCGTCAAACAGCGGTGATGTTGACATCCATCTTGGTTGTTTACGATTCTTGTAATAAATCTAAACATTATTAGATTTGATAAATTAGGTTTGAAGCTAGAACCATGATGACAATAGGCATATTGCACTAGCTGCATACACCTGTCGCTCGTTACATTATGACCAGCGACAGGTAAAATGGAAAATGCCGCTTTGCAGTTACGGCTGGCAGTGAGTTTTTTAATAGCACAGGATGTTAGCATAGGGATAAAATGAATGCTAGCATTGTGTATGTAATGCTGATGTGTTGGAAGAGAAAAAAAAAAAAAAACCTACGTAATTGTAAGAATTGAGGCGATTTTGACAGATGACAGATCATGATGGCTGTACAATCGTAACATGTCCGCAGTGGCAGCTCTGGTGTGATGGCTGGTTGTATTGGTGTTTGGGCCTTTAGCAACACCAGTTTTCTGGTCTTAATTCTCCCAAGACCGGGACCACTGGCAACACTTAGGCCATCAAATGATAACTTGTATAGCACGTTATCAAATCTAGAGGACCCCAAAGTGCTGCAGACTACCTTCAGTCATTCACCCATTCACATGCTGATGGTAGTGAGCTACTGGGTAGTAGCCACATCTACCCTGGTTCCCAGTGACAGAGACGAGGCTACTGGACTCTCTGACCACCGTCAGCAGAGGAGATGGTGGTCATTGTGTTCAAGGGCATAATGACAGAATCAAACCAGCAACCCACCAATTGAGGGATGATCTTCTACTATCCGTTGCCACTGTCGTCCCTTATACTTTTTCCCTGTCATGTTCATTACTTTCTCTATTTTCTCTTTCAGTTTGTGGTATTTCTCAGATTTCTCACTTTGGATTGCTAAGTTTTCTTCTTCTACATCTTTTCTGGATAGCCATCTCCTGCCTCAGACTTATCATCCTCAGCTACTCTTGTTGGTGTTTCCCATTTCGACAGCGAAACCTTCAGCCCAGACTTAGCACAGATGTTCTTGTGCACTATTTCAGCCTCTTGGTAATGACATATCCTGTTTACTTCTGTGGTCAGAAGTCTGTTATGTCGTTCAGTGGCGTCTCTTCACAGCCGAACTCTCTGTTCCTGTCTGACGCGGTAGAACCTGATCTTTATTATTCCTGTGCTGCCATGAGTTTTGTCTTTGTGTTTTCCTTCAGCCATTGGTAGCACTTTGTAGGTAAAAATCTCAGAGATTTATCTCCCCATGATGATTCCACTTGTAGATACTCTTGCATATTGAGATTTTTTTGGGGGTCATATTTCAGGATCTTCGATGTTTCGTCCTGCCTGATGCTCGCTAGCCCCTCTTTTAGCTTAGCATACACTCTCAGGACGAAAAGCTAAAACCCTGCTAGTGCAATGAAAGAAGTTTCCCTGCCTTACTTTATATCCATTCTGGAGTTGAGCAGTTTAATCAGAAGAGTGTTACTCTGTTCACATTACCAGTACGCTGGTAGAGACCAGCTCCTTGTTCTATGTGTTTCTGGTTCTGGACCCTCCGCTGTTGAGAAGCGACAGTCGCTGGAAGTCCAGAGTAATATCAGATTATCTGATATTGGAATCTGTTTGGTGATCTGAAACTTTTAGGCAAAAGTAAAACCAGAAGGAATCTGTAAAGAGGGAAACCACATTTTGTGGTTATCAGAGGCCATCAATTAGGATTCCCTTTGACAGATTTCTGGAGATTCCTCGGGTTTAGAGGAGTAGTGATTTACTTATGACTTGTGTAAATTGTAGGCTGTTACATTGATTTTAAGATTTTGAGAGGAATTTTGCTCCAGCAAACTATCTGAACAATTTATGTTTGGTGTGTGTTTATGCATTTAATGGTTTCTGGCTGTGCGTATTTGACTGTTGAATGTTTTTTTTTTTTTTTTTTATGAAGTATCTTTTAAGTGTAGCTTTCAAAAAGTACAAAACTGTGCAAGGGGTTGTAAGAGAGCCCTCCCTCTCTCTGATGTTAAAACAGTTTTTATGTAGCAGAAAGATCTGGGTTATTTTTAAACCTTGACAGCTTTCACATATCTTCAGTAATTATATATTTTTTTTTTTGCTGTGGGGCGATATATCTGAACGCACTTTGTACTTCACGCCGCGACTTCGAACTATACAGTGTTGCCTGATATTGTACACCATTAAAAAACAGTGTTTGACTGCTCATGGCTGCTGCTTGTATGTTTGCACTTCAAACAAGATGTGCCCTCTTGCTCAGAGCTGTGTTTAGCAGAGACTCGCTGATTCATCACAGACCTGCACTCTGTCTGCTGCAGCACAAAGGACCTAGCAGCACTATCGCCTCAAGGTTTCTATTAAGCAAAGCTCTGGAGATCTGTGTAAGCCGTGTTCTTGGTAGAGATGAAATATTTTTGGTGACATTGAGTTGAAACATTCAAGAGAGGCACAGCTATTAGATCATTGGCATGAGGGTCATATTAACCTCGCCTTATTACTCATTTATTTGAACAGTTCTTTTGCCCAGAAAACGGCTTCGATGATTTTTTTTAAAACCAAAAGATTTTAATTTATCATGATTCTTCTTTTCTTTTTTTTCCTTTCTAAGCCAAACAGGGATTTTGAACTAAAACACACACACATACTTGTGGGCAGCTCTCCGAGAAGCTTGCAACACAAAGTCTTCAGAAATGAAAAACACACAGAAGTTAAAACATCAAATGAAACCTTAAGCCGAGAACAGACCAGAGCTAACCAAACAAGCTGGCAGGAGATCGTCAAAGTAAGATAACCTTGACTAAAACAGTCACGGCATTTACACACACACAAAACAATGAAATAACTTTCATCTGTTGTTGTTTTGGTTTGAAAGCAGACATCAAAACAGAACCAGAAAGCCATGGTAAATAATTCCTTGAATTACTGCAATAAAGTGATCGAGAACGGATCACTTACATTATTAAATAATTATTTTTTACTTTAAAACTTTGGCTGAGGAAGAGAGATGTATGCAAAAGGAATTGCATTACTGAGTCAACAAAAATGTCTACAAAAAGAAAATGTGCATTTATTAAAGACAGTCGCATCTTTAAACCAGTCAAGTAAAAGCGCTCCCATTCTGTAATGTTTGCAAACAAATTTGGATTGATAAATGGAATAAGATGCAAATAAAATTCAGAGGATTATTAGAGAGTTTACAATCTTCCCCATGAAACTTGAGTTCATTTAGATTTCTCTCTTTGCTGGCTTGTTTGAAAAGTCTTCCTTTGGTTTAAAGTTTTGTTTTGCACCACCTTTAGCGCCTTTTTTTCGGGGGTTAATGACTGCTGTGTCTTATCTGCCCCCTCAAAGGGGCATCTGTTTTAATTCAACATGAACCAACTGAAGTCATTTTTTTCTTATTAAAGCGATATCCTAACCTTAAAACATCATTCCTGTGAAGCGAACAGTTTGCACCAGAGTCGGATCTCTGCTCAGAGCCGTCTTTCTGCAGCCCCGGCTTGATCAACAGGTGCCACTTTATAACTGCGGTTCCCATGAGTCGGTGCAACTGCAGATTCTGTCGACTGAGCGGTTCAGAAAAACCTCGCTTCCCTCCTCTGTGAACTTTCGACATGCTCCCCCTCCCTCCGCTCGCCCTCCTCCCTTCTAGACAATGACCCACTGTGTTTCTTTCACACTTTGCACCAGACAGCTCTGTCCAGCTCTCACTGAAGGCATGGACCAATATTTTGAAAATGACGCACTTCCCCTCCACGGCTTCATTATGTTCACGAAAAAAAAGAGAGCTTTCATATTATCTTGTGCTTGCTCTCTGACCCGACTGATTGCAGCCATCTCGCCGTCTCGCTGCCCAGAGAGAAGGAGCTCCGGCCAAAAACTGTGAGAACCAAACAAAACAACTTAAGCCGAGAGTGCTAAACTCTTAGCTTTTGTGAAAAGATCAGCATTTCTTAAGCGAGGTTCCCTATGAGCAGGCAAATGCTATCCTTGCATCTACATTTTGCATAAATTCAGCTGATGCTGGAGGCTGAAGACAAGATAATTTTAAAACAACTCCAGTTTCGTCTCCTCAGTAAGGTAAATCATTATAAGTTGCTAAAAATCACAAAATGATGTCATAACCTAAGTTGCATCAGCATCTGTCTCCTTCTGATTGTAGTAGGAGCTACGTGGGAGATGATTCATCTAGCTGGAGTGACTACAGGTGAGTCAAAAAAGGTATAAATATGTTTGGAAGTGCAAGTTATTGTGCGTTTAGTTTTTTGGTTCAGTCGTCATGAATCTGGTTTGATTTTTAATGGTCCACTTAGGATTCAGAAAAAACAGGGTGTACACAGTCTGCAGTATCAAATCAAAATGAATCATGACAACTTAATTGAACCTAACCCAATAGACGATAAAAATTATGTGATTTATTTTAGAAGACTGACTTATTTTGGACTAAGATATTTCTTTTCTCAGTACTTTCTTCATTTCTTTGTTAAATACTTTTCTATGCCAGTACTTTTATACATTAACTACGTGAAAAGAAATGATCTCATGCATCTCGCTGCTGTTAGTTTCAGCTTCTGAAACCAAATATTGTGAATTTGTTGTAAAAGAAGACGCCAAGAGAGTGATCTGCCGCAGGTAAAAGGTTCACACCCTTAAAACTTTTTACCCAAACTCACCTCAAAACTTCTGAACTATTCCCTTAACAAAAACGCATTTATTTTGTTTTTAATCAGACCAGCATGACTCAGTTTGCATGGATCAGACGGGTTATGGTCAGTAAGAAAGTTTTGTAATATTCCAAGGTTTTACAAAGTTACGATCACAAAGCTATGAAAATGTTGTATTGTGCTGTTTAAATAAAGTTTAAATAAATATACAGAGAGTGCCTGTATAGAGATTAAAGTGATGCTCTATACATGTGTTTCTGCAAACTGTTGCTCCACTTTACAAAAGAAGACAAATACACAAGCGCTCATGACGTGGAACATGAAGTAAATGCCACCCACCACTTTTATTTTGTCAATAATGCTCTGAAAGTAAAGTTGACAATCTACAAGCCGCATGTCTGTTAAACAGCAGCTGTCAGCTTGTCTTTTTCACCCATCTAATTTCAGTCATGTAAAAAACCTCACTCCTTTAGGTGTCAGTTCCCAGTGCATCCCATCAAGGTAAACAATGTGCAAATTTGTTTTGTTATCTGTCGTTTTTGCAGAAAATCCCTCCAGTTGGCATTCCGTGAATGTTTGAATAAGTCCTGTGGGCCAATTCAGCTATGCATGCTTAGTCTTGGCTCGGGCAAATAAAACAGCCGGGGGCAGTCAGTGGGTATAAATCACGCACTCTGTGTATGAGTTCCTCACCCCGCTTGCCCAGATCCAGAGAGGAAAATGCAGAAAATGTTCGAGTCGAGGTGATAAATTTCTGCTTATATTGTAAAATTCACTTTTGTTTTTGCGTGCGAAGTCCAAGGCGATACAATCAGAGGGCGTCACACAGAGCGAGGAAAAGATCGTGTTCCTTACTCCTCTGCTTCTCGTTGTTTTCGCAGCAATCATAATCTTGCAAACAAATGCAAAAATGCTCAGCTCAAGTTGTTCCTTGCCAGGGTTCGAGAGGAACTGAAGCATTCAAATCAAGCGGGCAGTCTTTTGATTCCAAGAGGGCCAAATTGTGTTAAGTTAATTGAGTCTGATAGATGTGTTTGCTTTCATGGCTGAGAGAGGTGCTCAGCAGAACCCCTGAGTTTATACTTCATCAAAATACTTACGAAATATATCAAGAGCAGATTCCCCCCCACTACCTCCCCAGTTCTTATCCACTCGCTAATTGAGCTGGCTCTGATCACTTTTAGCTGACGGTTGGAGTCTGCCCAGGAAATCGTGCACAATGGCAGGGCACATATTTAAGACATTTCAGCCTTCCTCCCCTCACACAGGACGAGAGGCTGAATTATGATGAACGGCTTCACAGTTCTGGCCTGCGCTTCATAAAAGGCTCCATTCAGAGCGTCCGAAGCCTTTCCAGCTCGACACGATAAGCGTGTTACAGTTCAATTGTCTCTCAAAAGACATAATGAGTGGGTCCAGCCTGTGGTGAACTCATTTGGCACTTTTAGTAATGAGGAGTGTCGATGAGGTATTTGAGCCTTTTCTCCCCGGAGCCAAATCTGATGTCTGAGCCTCTGCTGGGTTTTTCTGAAAGCTGCCGGCTCTCAGTCCGAGACTCGGACCCAAACATTTTCTCAGTCTTGATCGCTGCGACAACTGTCACATGTGTAACACAGACTTTAAAAATGAAAATACATTTAAAGATGTTCCTTCCTGAAGCTCAGGCCGCCTTTGCTTTTCCTCACTGTGTCCCTGTTGTTTTTGCTCTCGGATGGAGTTTCCAGTTCCCCTGCCAGGTTTTGTTATATCACAAAGAAGCACGGATAAAAATGTGTTTCCAGTTATTAACTTGTCTCATCATGTCTTCATGCTAAAAGACAAGAGGGGTAGAGAAAGTTCAGGAGAGGCCTGTTTGTTTCCATGTAGCATCCGCTCCAGTCTGACTGAGCTTGAACTGGTTTGCACAAAAAAAAAAAAGTAAAAATATCGTCTCCTCATGCTGAGACTTTAAAACCCAAAGGACTGGCAGTTGTAACTAATGGTGGTTTTCCAATCAGTAGCTGCCAGGGGCGGCTTACGAGAAACGGGGAGACGCATGGACCCCAGATAAAAAACCGCAAAGCATCAGTCAGTCGTTTCCCAAACTGAGTTTTTATCGGTTTAGTGGCTTCAGTCAGAGGAACGTTGGTATCCCTGTTTATTTCCTTTATTCCCTTATTTTAATTGGTAATTTGGAAGGAGATCATCCAAGATTCCATTAATGCAAAAAAAAAAATATATAAAAAATACAAATCTCCAAAGGGCCATAATTTGCAAAGAAAATTAAATAAAAACTTTGAAAAATAATTTGCCTTCCACTTGACTCTTCAGTCTTTCAGTTGGTATCTCATTTAAAATCTCCCCAATTCTACATTGAAAAGTTTTAGGGGTTTTTTTATAGCACAGCTAAAATCAACAGAAGTTGACCAAACTGATTAAATTCAACCAGCAACATGTATTATACAGGATAAAAAAAAAAAGAAATATGACAACATATAAACAAGTAAAGTTGAATGAAAAGCCAAATTAGAAAAGTGAGTTTTCCAGCGAGATATAAAAAACTTTATTGACTTCACTGAAAACCATCATCCGCTGTGTAATTTAATTTAAGCTTTGGCTCCGTTAGGTTGTCTGGTTTTCAAATATGATGACTTCAGTTTGGTTTTTGTTTTACTCACTTTAGAAACGTTAGTGGAAACATGACAACAAAATAAAAACCTTGATAAGATGAAAATGTTCAAGACACGTGAATAGTTTCATGTGACATGCGTGCAGTCAGAAACGTTTTAGTTTTATAAATACATTTTGAGATAAGGTCTAATATGAAGCTGCGGTGCAGGGCGAAGAGTTTTAAAAGAGTCATAAAGTCGTTGGCCTTTGTTCTGCTTTTAAAAATTTACTGTTCAGGCTTTCTCTTTTCTCCAACCAAACAGTTTTTTTTAATCTTCTGATTTTCTTTTATATCAGCAACACGGGAACATTACTGGAAAATCCCCTCAAGGTGGCAAACAAACCAGTCGCAAACTGAAACAATGTGCGTTTTCATTTATTACATCAGAGGACATTAAATCCCATCCATCTGACAGTTTGCTGCAAGATGGGGATATAATGGCAATTTAAGTGGCTTAAATTTCATTTGCAAAAATCCACAAAATACACAAATGAGGTAATAGATTCAGATTCAGGAGTGAAATATGTGAAATTTCATCTTATACTTCCAAACATTTCCAAAGGATTAAATTTGTTCAGCATGACTGGAGTTTCATATGTTCTCTGGTCCTTTTAATGGGTTTAGTCTTCTGGCTGAAAGTGCTGATATATTGCATTGAAAACGATAACTAATGCTTAGGATTATTTGGAGGATCATCTTGTGCTTTTTGGCCTTCACTAAAGAAATGCGTCAACTCTTAGCGTCGACACATTGTGCTGACCGATTCCTTTACAATTCATTTTTATTAGATTCTCAAAGATAATTTTTCTCAGGTTTCCTGCCTTAAACCCACCGTTAAAAAAGAAAGAAGATGGAAATGTGTCTGTTTTGCACTGAACAGAATAGACATTAACTGTTTGCTGGAAGTTTAAAAGCCACCTGGTGAGGGTCAAAAAGTGCAAATAAAGGAGGTTTTGCGTCTTGCCACATCATTTTAATGAGGGCACATTTAATTCCTGGAAGGTTGCTGCGGGGTTTTTGTATATTTGAGGCGAGGAGCACGCTCGCAAAATGAAACCATTTGTAGAACCGATCACTGGCCAGAACCGAGAAGCTCATAAACGTGTACAACGACCTCTGGCACAAGAGAACTGCAGAATGTAAAATGCAGCTTTCACACAAGAATTAAAGCGTTACACTCTTCGTTATTATCACTTTAGAGCGACAGCTTGTTTGTCTTGTAGATTGTGTTATGAGCTGGACTCGTTCGTGAGCGTTTTCTCAAATGGCTTTTCCTTGAGTGGTTTTAGAATCAAAATGTTGAAATAAATGAGTGAAAATGGGATCTCCTGTGGACAGGAGCGCCTGGTGTCTGCGGCTCGATGACTCTCCTCATTCACAGTAAATTTACCAATAACGAGCTCAAACCGCAGGAGAGCGGGAGAGCCCCTCTCCCTGCCTTTTAAACCAACCTTCTTAGGTTAAAATATGTCATAAAAGTCCAAATAAACCTTCTTTTTATTCCCAGAATCGGAGGCACAAATGCTGGTAACTGAGAGGTTTTCATTTTTAGTTTGACTCATCCTCAATAAACAGTTTACAGCTGAGAATTTCAAACATTTGTCCTCATTATGTCCCTTTTTTCTTTAATTTCAGGACAATAGTGACTTTAAATAAATCATTTTAGACTTTGTGCTTAGATTTTTAGTTTAGTTTTTAGTAAAAAAAACATAATTCAAGCTTTTGGTCGTATGAATTTGACTGACAACTTATGAGACTTTTCCAAACTGAGGTGAACTGATGCGCCTGATTGGGTGATGGACACTTTATCTTAAAGTTTACTTTGTGTTTGCAACTCATTTATTATTCATTGCAAACAGGAGGAGATAAATATCCCCGATATGAACGTAAACATGCAAAACTCCCCACTTGAAGTGTCCCGACGCTGCGAGCTGATTCATCCCGCTGAGGCTGGATGTGCATTCCACATCTGCAAGCTGCTCAGAAGACAAATAATGGAAATCATATGAGCAACAGAGCCGTGAAATCAAACGAGCGAGCGAACAGCGCGAGCGGAACACGACTGGAAATCTCAGATAGCTGCAATCAATGGCTGTTGTAACAAGACGCATGAGGTTTTGGTTTTTTGTAGTCGTAAGGCGTCTTTGTTAATTTTCCAGAACCCAAAGTAGGATTGTTTCGGTAATGTGAATCATAAATCATACTGAGCTGCGCAGAGGTCTGTTCAAAGTCTCGAGCTCTTCCAGCTCCAGAGTGCTTGTGCTCCTTCCTGATAACACGGGCTGTAAATAATTAGGTTAGAGAGGATAATATACAACCAACAAGACATTTTAATCATAACAAATACCAGATTAGAATCAACTCGAATGAGTCTGCAGACCTCGAAGGAAGGCCTTTTCCGTTTTGCCACGATTCGAGAAATGCATCAAAGCTTACAAATTGAACTCGCGCTGCGAGAAATAAAAAGCAGCTCTGGCCAAAGTGAGTTCTGCTCGATGCATATAATGCACATTTAGAGGACTAACTGCGATCGCAGATGTGGTGCAGGCAGCTGCCCCGAACCGTCAGAGAAAGACAGCTTAAGATAAATACATTTTCTGCAGATGAAGTCACAACTGCAGACACATTTTCTCTACAGATCAACCTGGAACTGTGACTCTCTGGATGAAATCTATGGCTTTCGTTCTCAGGGTCTCTTGTTAACAGATCAGAATCTACTTGCTGTTAAATCAAACATAAATAAAAGCTCAACATGACTTGTTGTCTATGATGTGAGATTGATTTTACTGCACTCCACTCACAGCAACAGTATCAGGGTCCAGATCTGGTCAAAAATTATATATATATAAAAAAGAAGCTACTGCATCAACAAAGCATGTATTAATGTGGAAGTTCAAACTGCAGTCTGGCTTCTTGTTCCATTGTTCTGTCATGGACCATCCTGTGTGTTTTCTTCATGTTCCTCAGCAGAAACAGAGCTTCCCTGTAGTCCTTACTGTTTGCTGCTCTGTTGTGCAAAACGCTGCCTGCACAGAAAAGACACATCAATAATAAAGTGAGATTGAATTGGGTAAGTTATTTCTGCCACCATAATATCAACACTTCTTCAAATAAGGCAGGAAGTACGTCTTATTGGCAGGAGGCGGCTGTGTGAACGTTAAACTGCAACGGATGCTAAAATATGTCGAGAACTCAGAAGATACCTAAGGAAACAACTTTGGCTGCTCTACTATCTTTTATTTCCTTGATCAGCTCCTCAACTCTTTGGACCGGCTGCATTATTGGTCTCAGAGGTGGCAGCTCCTTTATCTGCTCCAGAAAAGCAGAAGAAGGGAACAGCACGTTGGTATTTCTTTTACAGCCTTGGAAGCATCGACGTGCATGTGAAGAGATTATCTGTGGCAAAAAGAAAAGAAAAGGAAAATCAAACCCTCTTTTTCATTTCTGTGTACGGCGTCTGGATGCTATCAAGCCTGGGTTTGGAGTCTCTGTAGATGTTCAGATTCCTCAGTGTTTGATCCAGCATCCGAACAGCTGTCTGGATTCCTGTCGAAAGGAAAAGAGCAAAAGGCGCATGACGATTCCCTCCGGGGTGAATGTATGGTCAGAGTTTTGTTTTCTCAAGATATCACACAGCTGCAGAGGGAACCGTATCCGTCCCTGCACACCGATGTTGGGAAGTGGTTCTACATCCATTATCACGTCGTAGCATATGGGTCGTCCCGGACGGGCTCCGTCTTCTGCAGATTCGTCCTGAGTCGACAGAGAAGCCAGCTGAAGCTGCTCGGCTTCATCTTCTGACTGTTAACACAACAGGAAAACGTGAGAAGGGGAAGTCATTTGACATAACCCACCGGGAGCTTAAGAATTTGAACTCTTAAACAGCAAATATGCACAAACCTGAGTAATGAAGAAGAGTTTTGTGTTTTCCTGACTCTTGCCCTCGGGCTGTATTGTTCTCGGATCACTCGTTGTTCTTTTGTTGTCCTGAAAGGGTCTCTCAGACGTCGAGTCCGACTCAAATGGCTTCAGTGGGAAAAAGAAAATCAATCATTATGCATCTGCTGCTCATAGTCCATAAACTCAATCATGTCTCAGCCATTAACCGCAGCACAGCTTACTCAGTTTTAATAAGATCTTCCAGCAAATGTTGTGAAGTGGAGGGAAATTGAAACATGGTTTTAAAACATCTTGACAAATATGAATGTGGAAAGTATGTCACACGTTTTGCATCCAGCCCCTCTTAGAACCATGATTAAGGACAAAGACACAAAGTACCAGCAACAGCTGAATTCAGGTTTACAGGATTGTTGAGTACAAAACATAACTGATGGGAAGATGAATGGATTTAGATTAGGCAATGGAAGAAGTTAGAGAAGTGATAGAGGCTGCAAAAAACTTCAGTTTGGGCCAAAGTGAAGGACGACAACCCCTGGAACGAAGCCAGAGCTGTAATGGAACGGTGTGAATTGTCTCAGAACGGCCTAGTCCAAGTTCAGACCTAAATCTAATTGAGAAATTGTTGCAAAGCTCGAGATGAGAAGAAAAACGGACATAGGTTGTTTCTGTATGAAGCTGGGAGAAACGGTGATATTTCAGTGACAGTCGTCTATGACGCACAAACTCAAGTGGGCTGAACACAAATGCATGCCGCACTTTTCAGATGTTTATTTGAACTTCATTTTCAATACAGTGCATTGAAATGTGTGGTTGTAACATGATGAAAAGTAAAAAAAAAAAAGTCAATCTGTCTTCATGAATCCAAATATTCAACGTTCCTGTCAATGCAGAACACACCCCGCCTCCCGTCCTGGATAAACACACACCTGAAAATCTTCATGCTTCTTTCTCTTCATCTTTATCCCAAGCTTGTCTTGAAGGAAATAAGTCAGTAAAAACGTTTCTCCTGGGTTCAAACAAAAACACGAGAGTGAATTTGAGCAATCCAACAACCGCCTTCGACAACTGTCTGCCAGAACGCAGGAATACTTCCGCTCCGTGCAGTCAGAGGGTTGCAGCCAATATCCAATTCGCAGAGCTTTGGGAAAAGAGCAGCAGCAGCCACGGCTTCCTCTGAGGCGATCTGACGGCAGAACGCTGATGAGACCTGGCCGACGACCAGAGACGGTTTGAAACGCCGGCACGTCGCTCACCTCGTTGTTGGCCAGATTGAGGCACTGAAGCTCAGGCAGAAACACACCGGGACGCCTGCAGCCTTCCTCCCTGAGCGCCTGAAGCATCTCCATCATCTGAATGCGGTGGTCGATTTTAGACTCAATGTCTAAAAAGGGGAGACATTGTGAGATTTTTCTGACTTCTTTGAATGATTCAGCACCATCCACGTTTTAAGTTTTGTTGTTTTTGTGTGATTGACCGGTGATGTGTCCAAGGTGCGCTCCACTGATATTTCAAAATAGCTTGAGACATGTTGCAATACCTATGAAAATAACTTTTGTAATTTGTTTGTTACATATTTAAGTTATGGGTTGAGCAACTTGCCAGAATTGTACCGCATAAATGTGGTAACGTTCTGGCAACCACAGCTGCTGGTATTTTACCATAAATTAGTTACAACGTAAAAACAAAAGAAAACCAGACAAAGGATTGTGTTTATCCTCCTCACAGTCATAGAGCGGATGATGATGATGATGATAAAAATCAATCTCCTAATCTCATGGATTGAGAATTGCACTCTTTACCTTCCTCTTCGTCTTCCCTCAAAGCAGGTTCTGAACTCTCCATCACTTCCTTACAAGGTATTTCTGTGATACAGTTATCCTCTAGGTTTAGATGCTTCAGCCTGTGCACAGTGTACACCAACATCAGTAGATGACAAGAGGAGTTTGCATCAGGTATAAAATAACAAACACTGAACCTCTTCAGGTTGGTAAGGCTGTAGAAGACACTAGAGGTCAGTCTGTTTTCGTCAAGCATCAGTACTTCAAGAGCCTCAAACGGTTTGGCTCCCTCTTCAGACAGCCTGCAAGCACAAAAACAAAAAGAAAAATGTTCACAATTTGTTTCTGTTGTAAGATTTATTTATGCCCACATTAACAATAAACAGTAAATTTAAATAATGTAGACAAGAAGGTTGGTAGTGTCAAGTCTGAGCAGTTTCAAAGCGTATCAGTCGAAATAGAAATTTGGTGCACTTGTGCGCCACCTTTTGGTCAGATTTAAAACTACTTCAGAGGTTGTGGGCAATTTACTAGCATGTTCAGTGTGTGGGGTTAAAAAATATTGCCAGAGTGGATTTATTTTTAGATTTTTGGCATAAAAGGATGTCAGTGTTGACAGAATAACATGCTGCAGAGCAGTCAGCAAAAAAAACCAGCAAATTCACGACGTGATCAAATTTAGACAGGAACATTTAGTTATAATAAATAGACTTTTTTGTTTCTGATGTTCTTACATGTCAGGCCGGTCGCTGTGTGAGGGACCAAAATTGGGAGGAAGACTCTTGAGCTGATTTCCGGTCAGATGAAGAGTTTTAAGACGTGGAAACTGACCTAACAGGAGTAAAACCTCGGCTGATAAGAGGTTGAAGGACAAATTTAAGACCTGTGGGAATTAAAGCACATTGCATTAGGAATGTTCACATCCTAAAACCTTCTCGGTTTGTCTCTTTAAAACCACAACCTTTGATCTATGTAGTTTTTTTTTTTTAGTATTTCCCTACCAGCTTTGACTGGATGGGTGGATGGATGGACACTGAATTGTGTCAAAAAATAGCTCAAACTCTGAGCTATTTTCAGACAAGCATCTGAAAATTTTATTTATCAAGATCCTCAATTAGATTCAGTTCTGGACTTTGACTAGGCCTGTTGAGAAAAAGGCATCTGCACAGGATGATGCTGTCATTTTTCACTTTTTTCAGGGTTAAGTGTAGTTTATTTTTCATCACACGTAGCATTTTGCATAAAGGTAAATAAAATGCCATTATGCACAAATTCATGTTCATCTATTACAATAAATTGGAGTTTGTGGTTGTATCAATACAAAATGTGAAGAAGTCGAAAAGACTTGAATACTTTTACCGTCAATGATTATTTTTCCACATCTCCAGATTGCATTTAAGGCGATCTTACCTCTAAATGAGGGAAGTCAGCAACATCAAAATCCATGTTTTTGATTCTATTGAAAGTCAGATCGAGTTCTCTCAAAGACGTGAAGCAGCTGAATGATCCTGCAGAGGACGACCGGGATTTAGACGGCGAACAGAAAAGGAAGAAAATCAACCTGAAGACGAATCAGTGTGAAATGAGTCACCTAAAGAGAGGAAGTTATCAGACGCATCGACGTAGGCTACATTTACAAAGTCCCTCAGCTCTTCTGGCTCAACCTGTGTGAGTTCAGGGGATTGTTTAGTCGTCGTTGTCACTAACAGAAGATCAAATGCAAAGTGTAAAAAAATAAAATAAAATCTTACAGAAGTCAGATTTTGCTCACTGATGTTGAGAGAGCAGAGGTGGGACGGCTTACGTACAGAGTGTAACTGGAGATACAGATGAAGACAAAAAACTAACTATGATCAGTGCAGCAATTTTAAATTATATAAACAGTGACATGCTACTGTTTCTCACCAATAAGTGTCCATCTAATGTGGTCTGAACTGGAGCATCAGCGTCCTTGTTTGTGCCTTTCGTTTGAGGCGTTTTCGTCAATATCCGCTTGCTCTTGTTCTTCTGCTGTTTTGGTTGTCTGTGTATGATAAGCCCATAACTGGCTTCTACAAGTTGGAGAAAAAAAACAAAAAACAAAACTTAGATACAGATATTTTTTTTATTTTCAAAAATTTGAATCTATGCAACATTAAGAATTAAAAAACACTGTAAAATTAGTCGGTAACATATCGGAAGTGACCCTGAACAACCTTTTATTCCTCCAACAACATCTAAATATTTTTGTTGAACCTTTAAAAATTACTGAGAAACATTTTCTGATCCAGGCTGGTGGATGTTTTTTGTACTGACAGAAGTCCTACACCTTGTTTGAAATCATCAAATAGTTGTTGATATTAGTTGAAGGAGATAACCTGAGTGAATACAAAAAGCAGCTTTAAATGTTTCCATTAGGTTCAAAACTACAGCTCCCTAGTCATTATAACGGCTACCATCAGCTTTTTGTGAAAACTGGTAACAAGTGTTTAATTTTGCTGAGGAGGACTTTTGGTCCAAGAGATTGCTTAAAATGAGCCACACTTGATCTTGACTTTGACTAAACCACACCAAAGCTTTCACTCTGGGTTCATTAAGAGGTCGATTTGCTGCTGTACTTCACACCATTGTTCTGCTACATAGTCCCTTCAACTTAAGTTTAAGGTCATTTCAGTCAAAGTGGCAACTTATTTAGGCCGTATCATCAGTATTTTCTCAAAGTTTTTTGGGATCAACATTGAGATGTTCTTTGGAAATATGTGACAGGCTTTTATGTGGCTTGTATTGGTGGTTTTTGTCTTGAAACTCTCCCACAGACACCATTTCTCCCCAGTCTCTTGGTTATTGTTGAATCGCAACCATTCAACAATTACTGGGTTCTTTCTGGACGGGTCACTGTTACACCCTTGCTAAAACCTCAGACATGGCTTTGTAATCTTTTCCTCACTGAAAGATGTACAATTTTGTCTTTAAATTGAGACATAATGTGTTGCTTTTTAAGATCTTTTAAGGCTACTGAATGTTTTCCTTCTTGCTCCCAGGCAGCACCCAAATGCGCCACTGTGCAGTCACATGACATTGCTATTTTCTCATTTGCTTATTTGAATGCTAGACAGAATGTGTGAAGCATACTCTGGCCATCATAGCAGTTTTTAAGAATAAATAAATAATAATAAAAAAAAATATCATTGTTTTCACCTGTCCTAGGAGTCTTCTTCATCCTTTTCTGTACGTTCTTGTTCTTCTGTTGCTCTGGTCTTGTGTGTTCCTTCTCTTTATTTAAGGAAATCCAGATCCTGTCCTTGTGTTTTTCCTGTTTTCTTAGCAAACTGCAGAGTCATGCAATCATAAAATCAAAAACATTGTGTTGCTTTCGAGCAGCTAAGTAATATGACTTAATTACCTTACTTTCTTTCCTTCCTTTTTGTGGTCTCCTGGCTGTAGAAAATGTGTTAGGTAAAGTCTTCCCGTTTTCCTGAGGTCAAACAACTTTTTACGCCTGTTTTTAAAGCTACCGGATGTCTCGGTATAGCTTATGCTGAGTAGTGTAGCGCTCTGTATCCTAGCAACAGACTGAAATGGGAGAATGTGTCCTCTCATCCAGCAGGTGGCGGTAGCAAAAAAGGTTTACATGCGGAAGAAAGACTCATCAAAGAGTAGCTAAATTGTTAAGATTTACCCGTCCACATCAATTTAACGGAAAGCGAGTATGTGCAGCAATATTTGATAAATAAATGTAAAATTTATTTCCTCGTTACTGATTTTTTCCCCAACCAAGTGTCTTCAATTGTTGTTGTCATTGTTAGCAACGCTTAAACGTCGCCTCCACTGCGTTAACAAAATAAACACAAACCGAAAACCTCACGCGTCCATTTAAACTCGACGTCACATTCAGAGCAATCCCGGAAGCGAGTGTCAATGTACTTCTCGCTTCGTTGCCGTCTTAGTTTCTGCATGAACCTTCACCATCACTGTCGTGAACATCAGAGGTTCCTGGTTTCGCAGCCAAATGGACTTTGTAACGCCGAGCCGAGGCTAGAGGCAGGTCAAGAGCGACAGGTGAAGGTAAGGGCTCCGCTGCCTGCTCCGTGTTTACGCTCTGCGGCGTGTCTGTGCGTGAGGAGGAAGCACTGGAGTGTGAACTCTTCCTGCGAGGCTGAGCTTCTGTCAAAGGTTGTTGCTGCAAGATTCTAAAAGACTGGTGTGTGTGTGAAATATTTCTGTTGCAGGAACTCTAATCCGCCATGGGGAACAAATCATCGAAAGGTGTGAGCGTCGAGGAGCCCCCTAAAACAACTTTGTTTGAGAGGGAATCATGTGGGATCACATACAGGATTCCAGCTCTGCTCTACCTGAGGCATTGTCACACATTCCTCGCCTTTGCAGAGAAAAGAACCTCCTTTCATGACTACGACGCCAAACGTCTGGTTATGAGAAGAGGATTGCTACAAGAGGATGGATCTGTTCAGGTTGTTACACCTTTGTATTCATACGCAACACGTCTTTTCTCTCATTTTTCGTTGCAAAAACAAACTTTAAACGATTCAGTGGGATAGACCAACAGGAAAATGATAAAAAGGTTTTCAAATGATATAGCTCAGACTCAGTCAGATTGTTTGGAGGACAGAAACGTTCAAATCTTGCTAGGAAATCTCAGCTCTGGAATGAGGTGTGGACTTTGACTAGGTCATTCTAACGCGTCAATAAAATTTTATCAAGATTATCCTAGTGTAATGTCTGTCTGCTGGAAGGTGAACCTCCAGCAGATCAGTCTTTTGCCACGATTTATCCCTTTTATTTAGCTCAACTTATCTTCCCATCAATTCTAGTTCTGCTGTTTCTCTGCTAAAGGAAAGCATCTCTAAAGCACGATGCTGGTTCTATTGTTTGCTGCTGTGGGGACGATGTGTCTAAGCCAACGTTCAATGTCAGATTTCTGCCACAAAATACTGGTTTGCATGTTGATTGTAGATGGTTCAATTTTGGTCATCTCTGAGCACTTTCTTCCACGTCTTCCACTTTCTTCCAAGACTTTGGTTTCTTTCCTATGCATAAAGCTGCTAATAAAAGTTAGTTTCTTCTTCTTCTTCTTCTTCTTCTTCAGTGGTCGTCGAGTCAGGAGATTTCGACTGCATTTCTGCCAAACCACCGCACAATGAATCCCTGCCCTGTGTATGAGAAAAACAGCAAGACGCTCTTCCTCTTTTTCATCTGCATATGGGAACACACCACAGAAATAAAGCAGATTGTGACAGGTAAGAACAAGGCCCGTCTTTGCTGCGTGAGCAGCAGCGACGACGGGCAAACCTGGAGTCAAGCGATGGACCTTACAGAGAGTGTGATCGGGGAAGCCATACACAAATGGGCCACTTTCGCGGTCGGGCCTGGCCACGGCGTTCAGTTGGAGAACGGCAGGCTGATCATTCCTGCGTACGCCTACTACATCCCGTACAGATGCTGTTCCTACCCACTTCCTTGTACGGTGTGCCCACGCGCGCTGTCGATATACAGCGAGGACTTGGGACAGACGTGGCGTATCGGGAAGATGCTTCAAAAGAAGTCATGCGAATGCGAAATGGCGGAGATCATCGACCACGAGGGAAGGAGCCACCTTTACTGCAACGCCCGGCACACAGGCGGCCACAGGTGTGAAGCCCTGAGCGAAAACAGCGGCGTCTACTTTGATAAGCCCCACATGGCCAGGGAGCTCGTCGAGCAGCCCTCGGGTTGCCAGGGCAGCGTCATCGGCTTCCCCGCGCCCGAATTCGTCCCCAACGACGACGCCGAGAGCAAGGCCTGCGGCACGTCGCTCCTCTCACCAGACACTCAAACCTGGCTCCTGTTCATGCACCCGACCAACAAGTCCGACCGGCGGGACATGGGCGTGTACTTGAACCGATCCCCCTTGCACTCGTCCGGGTGGGACCGGCCCAGGATCATCCACAGGGGGCCGAGCGGTTACTCGGACCTGGCCTACAATGTGGACAAGGATCAGTTCTCCTGCCTGATGGAGTGCGGGAAGGAAAGCGAACTGGAGCAAATTGCCTTCATGACCTTTTCCCTCAACGACGTCATGCAGACGGGTGATAAGAAAGAGAAGAAGATGGTCTGAATTTGGGCCGTTATTGACAGAGATCTCCTTATATTATCCCACCACTAGAAGAAATCCAATCAAAACACCCCTGACGTGCCGTGCTGTAACATTCATCTGTGTTTTTACGTTCTGGAGATAGTGATGCATGCATGAGTCATGTGCTTTCTGGTCTCCTTGAGTGAAGTAAGTCTTATTATAATTATGCAACAGCATAGGGTTGATTTTAATAGGTTTTGTGGTTCATTTACGCATGCTGTGTTTGCAGTGTCATTTTTATAGCTGGTATTGTGTGTTGCATGTTTGATGAGCACTTCAAAGCCGTTCCAGCATCTTATTGAAGTGTCACTTTTTCTTCTCAGCAAAGTTAGCCTACCTCTTTATTTTCTTATGAAGATCATAGGGGGCCTTGCAAACTAGTCCGCAGATTTCCCTCCATACAGTCCTCTCCTTTACATTTAGTATACTCTAATTCACATATGCCTTCTGCTGTATTGTTTTATATGGAAGCTGTGCAGCAGCGTCGTCAGTGGATTGCCTGTGAAGGTCACAGGGAGGGTCATACAGCTGTCAATAAAATAGGAGAGGGGAGGTAAACATGTGCATCTGACATGCAGTTCATTACTGAAGAGACCAAACGTGCTGAACCACATATGTGAGTTGTTTTTTATTTTATTTTATTTTTTTATTGAAGCAGCTCATTCAGCTGAGCTCTTGGAATCAGACTTATTTTAGATTATCACTCGGAAAGTGAGGTACTCCTTCGTACAATATAATGAAGCTGTAAAGAGCATATGTCATCTTTTTTACACTATTTTTTCTTTCCAATTATGTCCTGGCTTTTAGCCCATGAGATATAATTTTTATGTTCTTTAAGGAAATATTTAAAAAAAAAAAGAAAAGAAAAAAAAAACCTCCCCAGGGAAGACGCTGATCACTTGGCAGCTGTGAGAACACAACTGAAAGTTATTGATCAACAAAATAGCTTCTAGCTTGAATTTCAGCTTATAAAGGAAAGATGTATATTCCAGATAATCTGGGAGAGCTAGGAAACCTAATAAACCAGCACCCTAAGCATGGATTTAAGCGCTCCGTGTTGTATTTTCAGTACTCCACGGTAGTGAATAATCACTACAGTTAGCAGTTGCTCTGCCCCTAAAGTCATGTGGCAGAGGGAGGGGAAGTTAAGCTACTGATAGACACTCAGTCTGACGCTGCAGTGAGACGCGTGTTCATTTAGCTCAGACACAAAGAAAAAAAAGTGTTGGGAGCTTAAGCTGATTATTGACTGAAAATGAAGTTTAGAGAGAGAGAGCTGTTTTTCTCTCAGTAGAAGTTTTGCTCTGTGACAGAACATGTAAGTAGTAAAAAGCACTTTTTTATCTGATAAACTCTCAAACTCCACTCACCATGAGTTTTTTTTAATGTTTTTTTGTGTGCATGAAACAAACAGATGACGCCTCATCATCCACCTATTGTACTCACTTTCTGTTTTTAAGACATGCAACTACAGCACTGTTAATTTTTTTTATCTACTTTAAAACAATAATATGCGATAATTATTTTTCTCATAAAATATTATATCTGCCCTTTAAGCGTTTGAAACTCTGTCATGAATTTTTACATGGAGCCTGTGAAGAACTGCTGAAATTCATTTTTTTTTAGGTGTTGCACTTCCACTGAGAAGAATTATTAACAGATAAGAAAGAAATGAATGGATTCTTTATCTTTGTACATCAAAATGATATGATAACGTGTATTTTATAGTTTCAGCTGTACTGCACAGGAATAATAGACTATTTACATGTGAGTTAAAGACTGTCGTGGTCAAAAATGGCTCACAGTTGCACTTAAACTGCGTTAGTAGAAACTGGATATGTGAGTGGTTAGAAAATGTAACTAAAACAGTTTGGTCTGAAATCAGAATATTTAAAGCTTTCTCAATATTTATTAATACGCCTCATAAAAGATGTGTAAAAAGTCTTGAAAGTTAATTCTAGCTGTACATGTAGGATGGTTTATTTATTTAAAAATCACATCAGATATACTGGGAAGGTGTGAAAGTATAGAACAGTGGAGAATAATTTCCCACAACAGAAACTATGACAGGATTGATGCGTCAAATGTGAGCTATTGAACATCCTGCATGCTGTTTTACAGCCTCTTTAAGGCCCAAAACGCAACTTGACTGGAGGAATTGGGAGAATCTACCAACCAGAACGAGAGCAGTGATGAATTTTACTTGTATTCTTTATTAGCGCTGACATCATATTGATAATCTGGCGATTGTTAAAAAAAGAGATTGGATAAACTTCAGAGAGGCCCTCAGTACTGTGATGACCAAATGTGATTTTAGTTATGGGTAATTTTTATTCTGGAAAATTATTCACAGCAACAATTCAGTTCAATCTGCGTGAAATGCCAACAATTTGACTTTCATTCATTAGAATAAATCTTAAAAAATAAGTTTATTTGTCAGCTTATTGTAATTATTACTGTGATTCATGCTAAAATGTAATTCCAACCATTATTTTAAAGTTATAGTTGTTATTCTTGATGACGAACTGCCTTCAGCTGGGATTATTTATGGTCACGACTGACAGGGAAAAACTTCTATGTCTCTAATTTGACATAGAAGAATTAAGTGCTGCTTATTTATGACGTTGCCAAAAAGCAAAAATCTCAACGGTACCATTTTTTAAATTTTTTGCCAAAATGTAAATGCTGCTTATATTTGCATCAGTGGCGACTGGCTAAACGGTTTTATTATTGAAACCAAAACACATGAACGTTTCTAATATGCTAATTTCAGCTGATCACACCAGATAAAAATAAATTCATTGAGCTTTAATATTTATTTCTAAAGCAATACTTTATTCATTCCTTGCACATCAAACCTGATTTTGTGAAGGACTGTGATTCAATAAGCTCGGTTCTCTGCAGTGAAAACTCGTGACAGCAGACGGAGACTCACTTGTTCGTAGAAGCCACTCAGAATTTGCACAAAACAAAATACTGTACCGACCTTAACATCTCATTTGCCTATCGTCGTGAGGCAAAATGCCTCCAGGTCGTTTTGTTGCGTTTCTCTTCGCTGTTGTGAAAAGTGATTTAAAAACCTGCATGGGATGTGTGTTTTAGTAGAAAATAAAATTAACTTGTGAGCAATTGGTTCATGTTTTGTCCTTTGTTTTTCTTGATGTTGTTGCACTGATGATAGAAATTCATTTGAAAACCAGCGAGACGTCACAGCTGCTGATTATAGCGAAGCATCAGACTGTGTATTTTATGTACTTTTTAAAATTGTTTTAGTAAAAAAAAATCAAATACATTTTAAGGTTTTGTTGTTTGAGCAGGTATTATGACTTTACAGTGGTTCTGTATTTATGGATTCACTGTGAATAACTAATTATTCACAAAAAAATCCACCCATTTGCCAATTATTTTCACAAGACATCTCTAAAATATTTATAACAACATTCAGTTTGGGAAGCTTAATGTGACCAGTTTCTCCGATTTTACTCTTTATAGGTATATGTTTGAGTAAAATGAACGTTGTTCTTTTATTCTATGAATGACTGACAACATGTCTCTGAAGTTTCAAGCAAAAATGTATTTATTTGCAGAAAATGAGAAATGGTGAAAATAAGGAAAAAGACGCAGTGCGTTCAGACCTCAAATAATGCAAAGAAAGCAAGTTCATATTCATTAAGAAACAACAAAACTAATGTTTTAACTCATGAAGAGTTCAGAAATCAATATTTGGTGGAATAACCGGGAGGTTTTCAGTCAGGTCCCTTCATTTTTTCCAGATCTGTAAACCTTAAATGTGTGGTGAACTTTTACATTTAAACACTGAATCTGGAAACATTTGTAATTCTGACATGAACAACATGCAGGTCCATTGTTCTAAAATCAGATACAGGTTATATACAGATTTTTATAGATGTAGATTTTTGTTCATACGGGGTTTCATTCCCTCAGCTGTGAGCAGAGGCTGAGTCGGTGCTGCAGACTCGTCGTGAATCCATCTGGGGAATTGAATGGCACTCGGCAGATGTGCAGGCTTTGGGGACACATTCAGGAAAAACACATTAGAGAAGAGACTAAATGTAGAGATTCATTTTAAGATAAATTACCTCCAAGCTTTCTCTGCTCACACTAAGAAAAACATGTACGTTAGGATGTGTCTACATCCTAATGGGAGGTAGTGGCTTTGTAATGACGAATCCTTTATAAAGCTCAAAGCCTTTTTTTTGATGTCACTTAAAACTTTTTTCCACTTCATTGCCCACATAAAGTGAGATTTTCTCTTATTTCTGCGTTTACTTGCAGAAAATGAGAATCTCAACATTTCAGTTTTAATCTTCAAAAAGCAACAGAGAATAGTGGTCTGTAATTCTGGACAGCAGATTTTTTTCTTGTTTTATATAAATTGGGTAAATTCTCAGGTGCTCTCTCAGCTTGGTTTATCTTGCTCTAAAAAAATCTAGCTGTAAGGAAATTGCAGAATCTGTCTGTGCCCTTAGTTTGACAGCAGCAGCTACAATCTGCTCTGGATTTCATTACACTGTCTGATCGCAAAAATAATCCCTTACTTGGCAGAGAGACAACACCTAAGGATAGTATGAAGAGTGGTTTATTAGATGTGGGAGCTTGTAGATCTCAGATGTGCTTATCAGCCGGCTGCCTGCTTCTTCGCTCTCTCTCTCTGTCTGCGTGTGTTTTTTTTCTCACATTGTCCAACCTCATTCCTCATGCAAAGGATGAATCATGTAGCAAAACCTGTTTGTCTACGATGCTGTTAGGCGGTGAGGGAGTCATCGTTTTCTCAGCACATATGCTTCATCTGCTGCTCCGATGGCACTGGGGATCCCAGTCACAGTGAGGCTTGTAAGTGTCGGCGTCACAGATGTTTTCTGTTTGCCGTAAGCGCGCGTGGCGTCCCGGCACAGACACAGGCTGGACACACCGCCGTGGTTCTGCATTGTCCATTTCAGAGTCCTGGTGGCTCACCTGAGGAAAAACTTTTGGCTCTTTGAGTCATGGGTACAAGAGGGCAAGCACTGACTTAAATTAAGATTTTCTTAAAGGCTTGAATTGAATTGTTTGGAAGTACTCTCTGTTTTTAACAATCGGAATCGTCCAAACCTGCTTCCAAGTCTGTAACTTATGGAAACAAAAATGTAATATGGTGTTCAGAATCTGTATTTAAATGTAAGCCACTTACTCACATTTTAAGATTTTACTGATAGTTTTGAAAACGTATTAGTAAACCTTGAGCTTTTTCCACATCTGTCACATTACATATTGTTCATGTGATAAACCAATACAAAATACTGCATGATTTTAAAATGGAAGAAAATGATGCATAGTTTAAAAATTAATAAAAGTGAGATGTATTTATGCTCTACCTCCTTTACTTTGATGCTTCTAAATAAAATTCAGCGCAACTAATTCATTTCAGAAGTCAGCTACTTAATAGTCGGCGTGTAATATCAGGACTTTAAAGCAGGGTTGGGTTAAAAACTAATAAAGTCTCCCAGAGCGTTCTTCTGAAAACTCACTGTTTTCAGTCCAACACCTGAAAACGAAACGAGTTTTCAGGCTTGGTTGGGAGAATGTGTTTCTCTTTAACTTTATTTATATATTAGCACAACTTGCATTTTCTTTTCACATAAAACCTTAAAACGTACTTTGTAGTCGTAACGCCACAAATTCTGAAAAGGTTCAAGCAGTATGAACACTTGTGAAAGGAACTGTGCATTCCTTATCTAACTAACTTTTGTAATTAAAATATTATGACATATTTGCACCATATTCGGGCCGGGAAAACAATCCCGGCCTTCTGAATAAAAGATGACCACTGTTCCCACTGACTCCAGCTGCCCAGATGTAATATTTATGTTTCCACTAGTTTACAGAAACACAACAAATGTTCCGACTCAGAAATGTGTCGGTGGGGATGTAAACGCTTTTAGGATTTCACTAAAACATTCACGACAAAAAGGTAAGCCAGCTATGACAATTTAAGTAGAACGAGTGTGTTTCCTGTGTTTTACGCTTTAAATGAAACAAAGTTCAGTTGTCAGTGAACTCCAGCGCAATAATGCTTCACGTTCAGTAAGTACATATTATCATATTCAGTTAATATTTTCTACAAAGCTTTTTTTTTTTTTAAACAACATAGAGCCAGCACACACATTTTCATTTTGGTAACATGATGGATTTACTAAACGGACCTTTCTGTGGGTCATGCTGAAGGAAATTATTTAAATTTGCATAAAATAACCTTTTACTGGTTGCTAATTATTTTGTTCTGTACTTTTCAAATGTCCTGAACACTTTCTCCCACTTGTTCATCGTTGCATAACAGACGGTCTGTTGAAGATAGTTAAGTTTTTTTCCACCTTTTTTTCTCNAATTTTTTGCCAAAATGTAAATGCTGCTTATATTTGCATCAGTGGCGACTGGCTAAACGGTTTTATTATTGAAACCAAAACACATGAACGTTTCTAATATGCTAATTTCAGCTGATCACACCAGATAAAAATAAATTCATTGAGCTTTAATATTTATTTCTAAAGCAATACTTTATTCATTCCTTGCACATCAAACCTGATTTTGTGAAGGACTGTGATTCAATAAGCTCGGTTCTCTGCAGTGAAAACTCGTGACAGCAGACGGAGACTCACTTGTTCGTAGAAGCCACTCAGAATTTGCACAAAACAAAATACTGTACCGACCTTAACATCTCATTTGCCTATCGTCGTGAGGCAAAATGCCTCCAGGTCGTTTTGTTGCGTTTCTCTTCGCTGTTGTGAAAAGTGATTTAAAAACCTGCATGGGATGTGTGTTTTAGTAGAAAATAAAATTAACTTGTGAGCAATTGGTTCATGTTTTGTCCTTTGTTTTTCTTGATGTTGTTGCACTGATGATAGAAATTCATTTGAAAACCAGCGAGACGTCACAGCTGCTGATTATAGCGAAGCATCAGACTGTGTATTTTATGTACTTTTTAAAATTGTTTTAGTAAAAAAAAATCAAATACATTTTAAGGTTTTGTTGTTTGAGCAGGTATTATGACTTTACAGTGGTTCTGTATTTATGGATTCACTGTGAATAACTAATTATTCACAAAAAAATCCACCCATTTGCCAATTATTTTCACAAGACATCTCTAAAATATTTATAACAACATTCAGTTTGGGAAGCTTAATGTGACCAGTTTCTCCGATTTTACTCTTTATAGGTATATGTTTGAGTAAAATGAACGTTGTTCTTTTATTCTATGAATGACTGACAACATGTCTCTGAAGTTTCAAGCAAAAATGTATTTATTTGCAGAAAATGAGAAATGGTGAAAATAAGGAAAAAGACGCAGTGCGTTCAGACCTCAAATAATGCAAAGAAAGCAAGTTCATATTCATTAAGAAACAACAAAACTAATGTTTTAACTCATGAAGAGTTCAGAAATCAATATTTGGTGGAATAACCGGGAGGTTTTCAGTCAGGTCCCTTCATTTTTTCCAGATCTGTAAACCTTAAATGTGTGGTGAACTTTTACATTTAAACACTGAATCTGGAAACATTTGTAATTCTGACATGAACAACATGCAGGTCCATTGTTCTAAAATCAGATACAGGTTATATACAGATTTTTATAGATGTAGATTTTTGTTCATACGGGGTTTCATTCCCTCAGCTGTGAGCAGAGGCTGAGTCGGTGCTGCAGACTCGTCGTGAATCCATCTGGGGAATTGAATGGCACTCGGCAGATGTGCAGGCTTTGGGGACACATTCAGGAAAAACACATTAGAGAAGAGACTAAATGTAGAGATTCATTTTAAGATAAATTACCTCCAAGCTTTCTCTGCTCACACTAAGAAAAACATGTACGTTAGGATGTGTCTACATCCTAATGGGAGGTAGTGGCTTTGTAATGACGAATCCTTTATAAAGCTCAAAGCCTTTTTTTTGATGTCACTTAAAACTTTTTTCCACTTCATTGCCCACATAAAGTGAGATTTTCTCTTATTTCTGCGTTTACTTGCAGAAAATGAGAATCTCAACATTTCAGTTTTAATCTTCAAAAAGCAACAGAGAATAGTGGTCTGTAATTCTGGACAGCAGATTTTTTTCTTGTTTTATATAAATTGGGTAAATTCTCAGGTGCTCTCTCAGCTTGGTTTATCTTGCTCTAAAAAAATCTAGCTGTAAGGAAATTGCAGAATCTGTCTGTGCCCTTAGTTTGACAGCAGCAGCTACAATCTGCTCTGGATTTCATTACACTGTCTGATCGCAAAAATAATCCCTTACTTGGCAGAGAGACAACACCTAAGGATAGTATGAAGAGTGGTTTATTAGATGTGGGAGCTTGTAGATCTCAGATGTGCTTATCAGCCGGCTGCCTGCTTCTTCGCTCTCTCTCTCTGTCTGCGTGTGTTTTTTTTCTCACATTGTCCAACCTCATTCCTCATGCAAAGGATGAATCATGTAGCAAAACCTGTTTGTCTACGATGCTGTTAGGCGGTGAGGGAGTCATCGTTTTCTCAGCACATATGCTTCATCTGCTGCTCCGATGGCACTGGGGATCCCAGTCACAGTGAGGCTTGTAAGTGTCGGCGTCACAGATGTTTTCTGTTTGCCGTAAGCGCGCGTGGCGTCCCGGCACAGACACAGGCTGGACACACCGCCGTGGTTCTGCATTGTCCATTTCAGAGTCCTGGTGGCTCACCTGAGGAAAAACTTTTGGCTCTTTGAGTCATGGGTACAAGAGGGCAAGCACTGACTTAAATTAAGATTTTCTTAAAGGCTTGAATTGAATTGTTTGGAAGTACTCTCTGTTTTTAACAATCGGAATCGTCCAAACCTGCTTCCAAGTCTGTAACTTATGGAAACAAAAATGTAATATGGTGTTCAGAATCTGTATTTAAATGTAAGCCACTTACTCACATTTTAAGATTTTACTGATAGTTTTGAAAACGTATTAGTAAACCTTGAGCTTTTTCCACATCTGTCACATTACATATTGTTCATGTGATAAACCAATACAAAATACTGCATGATTTTAAAATGGAAGAAAATGATGCATAGTTTAAAAATTAATAAAAGTGAGATGTATTTATGCTCTACCTCCTTTACTTTGATGCTTCTAAATAAAATTCAGCGCAACTAATTCATTTCAGAAGTCAGCTACTTAATAGTCGGCGTGTAATATCAGGACTTTAAAGCAGGGTTGGGTTAAAAACTAATAAAGTCTCCCAGAGCGTTCTTCTGAAAACTCACTGTTTTCAGTCCAACACCTGAAAACGAAACGAGTTTTCAGGCTTGGTTGGGAGAATGTGTTTCTCTTTAACTTTATTTATATATTAGCACAACTTGCATTTTCTTTTCACATAAAACCTTAAAACGTACTTTGTAGTCGTAACGCCACAAATTCTGAAAAGGTTCAAGCAGTATGAACACTTGTGAAAGGAACTGTGCATTCCTTATCTAACTAACTTTTGTAATTAAAATATTATGACATATTTGCACCATATTCGGGCCGGGAAAACAATCCCGGCCTTCTGAATAAAAGATGACCACTGTTCCCACTGACTCCAGCTGCCCAGATGTAATATTTATGTTTCCACTAGTTTACAGAAACACAACAAATGTTCCGACTCAGAAATGTGTCGGTGGGGATGTAAACGCTTTTAGGATTTCACTAAAACATTCACGACAAAAAGGTAAGCCAGCTATGACAATTTAAGTAGAACGAGTGTGTTTCCTGTGTTTTACGCTTTAAATGAAACAAAGTTCAGTTGTCAGTGAACTCCAGCGCAATAATGCTTCACGTTCAGTAAGTACATATTATCATATTCAGTTAATATTTTCTACAAAGCTTTTTTTTTTTTTAAACAACATAGAGCCAGCACACACATTTTCATTTTGGTAACATGATGGATTTACTAAACGGACCTTTCTGTGGGTCATGCTGAAGGAAATTATTTAAATTTGCATAAAATAACCTTTTACTGGTTGCTAATTATTTTGTTCTGTACTTTTCAAATGTCCTGAACACTTTCTCCCACTTGTTCATCGTTGCATAACAGACGGTCTGTTGAAGATAGTTAAGTTTTTTTCCACCTTTTTTTCTCAATCCTATCACAGTTATTTTTTGGGGGGATTTGGGTTTTTGTAAGATATATATATATTTTTTATTTTATTCTGGACAATAAAGCTGTTTTTAGTGAATATTAGAACTAAAAATGTACAACAAAACTAATTGATGAAATTTCTCTTTCAAGAAATAAACTTTAGGGAGGTCAAAAATAAAACAGTCTGGTTTTACTTTATGAAAAATAGGCATGAATGTCACATGTTCCAAGTATTTCAGCTGCTTATTGTCTGACTGTTTCATTTGAAATGTTACGCGGAGTCGAGGGATTATTTCAGCCAGTTCTGCAGCTCCGCCTGGAACCAAACTCTCGGTTTGGGCAGAAATGGAGAAAACCGATTTGGTGAGCTTCAGAGGAATGCACTGTGCTCTGAATGTTATCAGTCTGGCTCAGTTAGAGGAAGCAGAAACCTGCAGGTGTTTGTTTTGCTTGATATCATCCAAAAAAAAAACAAAAAAACTTGAAAAGAATCTGAAATATTTTAGTGATTAGGCTGCTGACTTCTAATAAACAAGCTAAAGTTCATGAATAAACGTTTTTACTGAAGTGATTCAGAAGTAGAGCAAGGCCAGCTTCTCTCTGTGTGACTCCCGGGTCTGGGTCGATACCGTTCTTCCTGTCCAGCTTCTCAGGGTCACAAAAACCTAAAAACACGAGATTTTACTTCTAATCCCTCATCTTTGCTTTACGTTTTTAGGTTTTAACATGAAAAAACCATGTCGGTTTTCGTGAGAACATAACCTATCGACCTAATCAGGATATTAATATTTGTTTGATTGTTGTTCATCCTTTTCACTTCCTGTTAAACCTGCTGAAACAATAGACACATGTTTAGTACTTTGTTCATGCAACGCGCCAATAGAGATTCAACTTTGCAAAACCTGCAGAGATCATCTGTGGATTTTCTTCAGGTTTTAGCCGTGAAAGCAGAAGATGGCCAAGGAAGAACGCTGATCCTTTTCTATGCTCAGATGCTTTAGGTCATTATTCAGCCTAAAGGCTCAACAGGAACCCACTAGATTTTTATTTTAAATAGTGTTGTTTTAGACTTTAAAATGTTTCCAGGGGCTTTAGAAGAGAAACATGCCAACATGCAAGGAGCATCTGAAGGTAGTCATGAAGACTTTGTGCTGTAAAAACAATAATTTTGTAATTTCTCATTCGTTTCCTCTGTTCAAAGAAAAAATTGGGTTAAATTAGAGCTTATCGAGAAAAGAAAAAAGCATTGTGTTAGCCAGAACAGCTGCTTGTATTTAATTTAATGTTGCTCTGTTCTTTTTGAAAGATTACTAAATGAGTAAATCTTTACGTCATTTGGAAATAAACTCAGCACAAAGAAGAAGAGCAAAGAAAATGTGTGTGTGTGTGTGTAAGAGTCAAAGGGATACAGAAGTCGTACTCTCAAGAAATTTGAGCAGAGAAGATATATTTTAAATTTCAAGAAAAAAAATGAAGAAAAAATACATTTGCTAATTCTTACCCCAGGGCTCTTTGTGTCAAATTAAATAAACTTTTTTTTCTCCTACGGTTGGAAAAGTACATTTTTACCACAGTGTGTCCAGAGCTGTCGCCTTCCCACTCTTCAGCTACCGCAAACCTTTTATTTTAGTACAGTCTTTACAGTATTGACACTTTTCGCCTGCACTTTCCTGTACAGTTCAAGACAATACAAAGGGTATAGGTCAAAGGTCAGATGGACACGGCCATGTCCCAGGATTGCGGGGACTCGTTAAAGCGAGGCCCCAGCAGCAGGGTGTTGGATCAAACTGCAGGACTATTCGAGTAAAAAAAAGAAAAAAAAAACAAAAAACAAAACATTGGCTTACAAGGGCACTGCAAATCTACATAAGCCATAAAAGCCATGCCACATTTACGCCCGACTGGGGCTAATTCTCTCTTAAAGGGACATGCGCACAGTTTACAAACAGAGGAGGCAAAAAGACTTCTGGGAAAGCAGCAGGGCTGGGAAAGTCTTCATAAACTGCACCCACTAATAATATCTGTTTGTAAGTGACTTTTGCTAACCAAAATAAATGGTTAATTTTGTACTGCTTGATCATTTTTTTTTAGATTATTTTTTTCTTAAACTAGACTGTATGATGATTTTTATTTTTTTTTTGATTTCACAAGTAACCCAATGTTCCCAACCCTGTAAAACAGTGAGCGTTGCAGACCAGTCACATGCACATGATGGGAAATGTTCAGCTAGACTCACGGGTGCTAACCTCTGACTCTCTGGCTGCTGGCTAAACGTCAAACCCCACAGCAGGCTGCTGCGAGGGGGAGCAGACCCACCCGCACGTCCAGCGATAGCACCATTTAACCAGAAATGTTGCAAAAAGGTGGGGTTTCTTTTCCACGTTGGGCCATGTCCTGTGCTTTGACTGCAGCTGAAAGTTGCAAACGTTTCTCAGTTCCTGCGGACAGCAGAAGCTTGTCCCTTTGCGTCTATGAAGTCTGCGAACGATTGACAGTGAGCAATATGTGATCCTTTTTGTTTTTTTCTTTTTACAGCTGAGAGAAATTTTCTTTTTTTTTTTTCTTTTTTTTAAGTTGTTGTACATAATACGATTTGTTGCGCAAAAATGGGTATGCGCACAGACTGGAAGCATAATGTTGCAGAGAACATGCAATTTGAGTATACAGCAGAGCAAAAAGCGAAGCTTCCCACGGTTTTCTTGTCATGAAACGTCATCTGTCACTGTTTGTTTCGCTTCTTCAAGCACGCGTCTCTTTCTTCGAGTGTGGTTTGTTTCCCAGCAGGGCGTCGATCTCAGTGATGGTCTGTGGTGTCATTTGGGATAAAATCTGGTGGGAGGGGGGAAAGAAACAGGGCAGTTTGAATAGCACTCTAATATTTATCTGTTGCTTTAAACAACTGTGTCTATGTGTATGTGCATCGCCTTGCAGAGAAGCTCATGTGACTTGAACCTTTTCAAACATTGACACAATTTTAAAAAAAGTGATGTTAACTTATTAAATAGTTCCCTGCTAAATACATAAAATAAAGCATATCAGTCTAATTAAATAAAACAATTAGTTTAATCAGCCTCAAACCCTAATGAGTCACTAAAAGATAAATCATTAAACTATTGGTAATCACACTAAAGGGATATTTCACTAGCAAGAAATAAATGAACAAATATGAAATCCAAAAAAGATTTAAGGAGGATTTTTAGTTGGGAATGAACGTTCAGGTTTTCTTGATACAAGTTCTCTCTCTCTTTTTCTCTCTCTGAGGTAAACTCATGGTTTATGCGCGTAATTTGCATTCTTCAGTCGCCCTTTTCTGTCTCGGAACCGGCTCTGGCTTCTTGCTCCAGGTTCCTTCGGGTCTTGGCCTCAATAATCACCGGCGGCTCAGACAAGCCGCGGTTTGCCCGAGGAGGTTTCCTCGAGGCCGGAAGGCTGTCTGCTGCGTTGTAAGAAATGCGAGAAAGAAAAGTTCCTCGAAAAGATTTGGGAGAATGAAAACAGCACAGCCAAATTTTGAGCTAGTTCGGGTTTGTTCGTTGACTGGACTGAGCTCTTCCTCATCACTCTTCTTTGAAAGGTGTAAGGAAAAATAAGCAGTCATATTTAAAAAAAACAACAACCATTTGTTCAATTCAGTATAGAGAATTCATAACGTTCCCGGTTAGAGTACCGCCCTCCGGACCGGCAGGTTCCTTCAGAGTCTGAGATTTTACATGTGAAAGATATTCACATGTGTTTTTAACATTTTATCAAAGCCCCTCCACTGCATGTTGGATAATCTCCAGAACAGGAAATAAAACTTATTTAGTTTGATACACAGAATGATTTTTCTCAGTTACTTTTCTCGAATCATTTTTGACATTAGCAAAAAAGTAAGTTAATTTTTCAAAACAACTCATAAAACCAGCAAAGCACCATGGATTACCTACAAATTGAATTGTTTTTTTGTTGAGTTGATGTTTTTGTTTAGTTTCGTTTTTTCTTTCTGTTGCCTTTCATGTATATTTCCTTCTATTGTATGTAATCGTTTTGTTTTTAACGAAATTAATATCAAACTAAAAAAAGAACAATTTCCTCTATCAGTGAGCATATCAGAGCCTCAGACTGACAAGTTCAGTTAACTCAGTCAAAGTGATTAATTTGTCGTCAATATAATAGTTTAGTATACAGAGATATATAGTTTTTCTGCTCTGCCCAAGTCTTTTGCAGCCTCTAAAAGCTTTTCTTGGATAAACAAAAAATAATGTGACGAAATCTGGAGGTATTCAAGTGGTATCAGCGTTTTTGCGAGGCTCAGCTGAAAGCATACAGAGAAAAAAGAAACGTTTTACCCGGAGAGCGCCGAGGTTCTCCAGTAGCTGGTCAGTGTTAGAAACACCCAGAAGCACAGAGCTGACACCCTCACTTCGCAAACACCAGGCTGCAGAAGATAAACACAAAACCATGAGCTGCTGACGTACTTTGAAGCACTTTTCCTTATTCCTTCAGTGCGCAGGATCCGAATGCCAAATTTGCAAAAACTGGCCAGAGTTTGAGAAAAAGCTAAACGATGTTTGCATTTGGTGTGGGGATGATGGCACAGCTGAGAACATGCTAATGCAACTTTCCAGAGGAATATAGAGAGTAAATCAGATGAGATGATCTGATGAGGAACATCACAGTAAACAGCTACCAAAGATAAAAAAAAAACAATTAATGAAAGTGCACTTTAAATAGATACAGGACAAATCTTTGTCTCGACAGCTTCTGAAGATCAATAGGGGGGAAAAAAAAAATCTAAAAATACCCAGAAATGTTTTCAGAATCAAACATTTAAGATTGTAAGATAAAAAAACTTATCCCGAGGTCTCACAAATTAAAATAAGAAATGATGAGTAGTGTAGTTAAACACCAGCTTATTATGATCATACTAATAACAAGTCAGTATCTGTCATTGGATGAGAGCGAATAGCCCCAATAAACAACTGCTTACCTAAACCTGACCATGTCTAACCTGAAGAAAGGCACCTGATATAAAATCTACCAGATTTCAGACACGACTTTCTTCTCACACGTCACTGACATTAAAGTGGACGTGTTTTATGTTGTCGTCATGAAACCAGACCCTTTGTCGTGGTACCTATGGCTAACTGTGCGGCGGTGCAGCCCAGTCTGTCTGCCAGCAGATGGAGCTCCTTGATTTTCGCCAGCTGCCTTCTGCCTTCCTCGCTGTTCACTCGCTCCTTCAGCCACTGGTATCCCTTCAGCAGAGGCAACATTGAGGAAAATCAGTGACTTTTGCATGGGCATACTGCTGAGGTAGAGAAACATAACCAGGCTTATTCTGAGCGAGAGAAGTCCCCGACGAGAGCCGCTTAAATCAAACTGACCTTCATCGCTGCTCTGGAGCACTCGGGCACGCCGTCGCTGTACTTCCCTGTGATTAATCCACAAGCAAGCGGAGACCAGGTCATCGCCCCCACACCTGAGAGAGAGCGAGAGAGAGAACAGTGAAACCCGGTGAAACAAAACGAAGCCTTTATTAAACTCATCCGAGTGGCCAAAGCTGTAGGACCGTGGACGCCTCACCGATCTTGTGGTAGAGTTCAGGAAGCTGCACCTCCACTTTGTCCCTCTGGAAATAGTGATACTCTGCCTGCTCACACACAGGTGGGATCAGGTTGAACTGACGTGCAACGGAGTACGCTTCCTGGAGGCCGAAACAGAGCCAGAATGAGCACCGAGGAGAGCTGGAAACAATGAATTAGTATCGACTGCGGTTTTCTGAGTGTGCACCATGATCTCCATTGCGCTCCAGCGGGAGGTTCCCCAGTACATGGCCATGCCCTGGTTTATTACAAATGTCATGGCCCGAACAATCTCTGCAAAAATCACAGCATTAAGCCGGTTATTAAAGAACACACCTCTTGAAGTTACGCTTTATTGACAAATATGTTAGATGCGTCTAAAACGGACCTTCCATCGGACTGTTCACGTCATTTCTGTTGGCAAAAACTAAGTCCACATAATCGAGTTGGAGCCTTGATAAGGATCCTCGTAAACCTGAAAAAACATTTAGATTGATACACTCAATAAGGCACAAATGTGTTTTAAGAAAAAAGTTTTAATTTGCTGCTGATAACCACATAAGAGCAATGTACACAGGTAGCTGTAATGTTCACATATCTCATAGATCTTTAGTAAAACTGTTAACAATTGAAAAAAAAGGGGGAAGTTTCATGAAGAAAAGCTCTGAGATGAACATTGATCTCATCATTCAAAACATTTTGAATGACATGCAAGTTGCTACATTTTAAAGAAGATGCAGCCTCCCAGGTTTTGGAGAAGACATTTTACTTTGACTAGAATTAGTGAAAAACGGGGAAAAAAATTAAATTGTTTTCTGCAATTGATAAAAGCATAAGCACCGATATTTAGTGTATTTTTTTGTTCAACCTAGCAGCTAGCCAACATCAACATTCATCAGTTTTGTAATACTTAAAAAACAAACACGTGTTACTGTGTTTTAATTATTAAAAATACATAAAAAAAAATGTTAAGGCTTTTTTAATTCAACTAAGAAATTTAGGCAGGCGTGTCGCAAAAGATGCCAAAACGACGTAGAAGGAGAATCTAACATGGAAACTGCTTTTGTGAACATTTTATGAAAAATGGCCTTTTGAAAATTAATTAGAACCTTACCAATATTTATTAGAATTTCTGCTCATTTTTTTGTATGTTTTTATTGAGATTTTGATAATTTCTCTGGTGTGGAGATCCAAATGTTCGAGGTCGGAAGGCCACCTTCCCATCACCCTAATTTTTAGACTCTTTGCTGGAATAAAGCCATGATTCAGTCTAATCTAAAACATTAACATTATGTCCAGTCAGAAGAAACATGTTGATTGAATTTAGAAATTAACTAGAGCCCTGTCCCTTATTCTTATACAGATTATTAAAAGTCACATGGTCACATGTAGTTTTTATCGTTCAATTTAAACAAAACTGAACTCCTTTCTACTGGAGGAAAGAAATGAATTTCCTTTTATTTGTTTGGATTATGTTTTTTAGGCTCTCTGACATTTTAACACGCTGACATACTGTGCTTCATATTTCTCCTCTGCTATTCTGTATGTTCTAATTTAAGCGTAATGAAAAGAGAAGAGACTCAGACGTTATTGTAGGTTAAAATACTTGAATGCTAAGAGCAGAATGTGTCTCACCTTCAATGATGTGCTTTCGGGAGAGTCCTCGCTCTGTTTCTGCTCTGTGCAGTGATAAAAACAGACAATAAGGTTATATGGAAAGTATTGAAGAAACAATAAATCCTTAGAGTTGGACTTACTGGCCTCCCCAGTAGATTTTTGTTGTGATGACAAAACTCGAGCGCCTAAAAAAGGGACACAACTGTGAGTTTTCATCTATAAACCCTAAAGAAAGAGAGCAGATTTTAACTTGGCTTATTTCTTCTCATCAGGTGGAATAAGAAGTTTTAAAGTTCAAAAAGGAATATTCCCTCTGTTCACTATGTTGCAGTGAAACTTGGGTAACAAGGTTCTGATCTGGGAGTTTATTCACATATTGTATGATGTTTATTTAATGGTTTTATAGTTTGCATTAGGTCAAAGCTCTATAGTTTTCTAAAGTGCATACATTTCCCTTGAGATTGGGTTTAAAAGCAATGTGATGCATTTAGAGGAGGGATTATCAGCAAATGTTTAACGTGAATTAACAACAAAAACAACATTTGTAGGCATTTTACATCCATGTGAGTCAGACAGAAAAAAATGATCAACATCACCTCCACCCTTTCTTTTTGATAATGTTCCCCAGGGTGATTTCCGCTCTGTGGAGAAACAAATCAGAGATTAGTCTTTTCTTTTTTCTTTTTTTAAATCCCGCGCTTGCTTGAAACCATTCGGAAATTCTGCATATTTTTGGTACATAGATGTACACCCTTCTTGGTTTGTTTTTCACAAAAAAGAATGAGAAAAAGAATTGCTGAAAAGATGGAAGAAAAGAGTCTGACCTTCCAGAGGCGTAGACCTCTGCCGTGTCAAACAGGTTGACTCCATTTTCATAAGCCAGGGTCATCAGGTTCTCCGCCATCTGAGGGAGCGCAAGCAATCAGGAAAGTTTGGAGACAACCGACACGTTCACGGCAGCACATGAAAGTTATACAAGTAGAAATAAAATCCCTACAGAAATGTGTTAGTTCTGCAAAACCCAGTGGGAGAGGAAACAGAAACCAGCAGAGCTGCACTCACCTCATCAGAGATCTGAGATCCAAATGTCACCCAGGTGCCTGAATAGCAGGAGACGGCTCGTTGGTGTGGAGGATTTTAAAGAGAGATTAATTTTTCAGTGCCTTCAAACCAACTTACCTAACCCAAGGCAGGATACACGAAGGCCGGACTTCCCCAGGTTCCTGCGAAACAAAACAGAGACAAACCACTTCATGAGCGGACATTTAGTTTTTTGATCATTTGTTTGTCTTAAAGCTAAACTCAATATATCGGATGAACAACATGACAAAAAAGAAAGAAAACAAAAGCCTTAAAATGTTTATTGCAGTGAAAAAAGTACAAAGGCAGGTGCAGAAAATTGAACATTATTTAAAAGAATTATCATCAGAAAGTGAGACTGCCTGTTTAAACCCTGTATTTGAGCCTTCAGGTACGGCAAATTGATGCCAAAAAGCAGTCATTTTAGAGAAGCAAATGTTGTTGCCAATCAATCTGGCAAGGTTCCTACATCCACTTCCAAAAAAAAAATGTTTGTATCCAGCAGTGAGAAACATTATTCACACCTGGAAACTATTCAAGACAGCTGGACAACTATCTGAAGCACGAAAACAAATCCACAGAAGAGCTGAGAAAGGAAGAAATCAGGGCTTTTTTTGGATTCACTCAGTCAGGGTGCAAGTATTAATCAGGCTCAAATGTTGCATTTGACCTAAACAAAGTAAAACCCTTCACAAGGGACAATGATCGCTGACTCATGAACTTCACTAGATGAAAGAGACAGAAAAGAAGAGAAAAACACTTAAAACAATAAAAAAAATTGTCTGTATAATTTTCTTTAAAGGGAGGTAATGTGTATTTTCCAAGCACATACTGCCATTTTACAGCACAATCAAGAAACTATCAAGGTTTCTGCCAGTGTATTATAAGCCTGGCGGGCCACCAGGCTTTACTTATGCCACCACCAGACTAATTATTGATCATTTATTTAGGTTTTTAAAAACATGTTTGCATTTTTTTAAGACTGTATAGTTGGTGTTCAGGTATCAATCTTCCAATATTCCAATAACACATAATTATCAAGTGATATTTTCAAATTTCCCGTCAATTTTAAACATTTTTTAACTCAATCACGACGGGATGCTGGATGAACGACTGCCCTGGAGCCCAACCACTGGGCTTAGCAAGTTTTCTGGGAAACCTTGAACTATGTTACCTTCACTTGTGTAAAAATATACATCAAATAAAACTTAAAAGAAATTTGAATTCGCAATTTAACTCCTTGAAATTGGGCATCTGTCTCTTTAAGAAGCTCCTGCTCTTTCCATCACTCCTTTCATCACAACAGCGTTCCTCCATTCAGCCTTTGACGTCGTTCTGAGGAGCGTTGCACTGAGGAGTCATTCTTTATCATCTGCTGATGAGCTCAGCAGATGCATAGCTTCACCAGGTGTTTGCTACCTGCTGCTGCCGCTAGTCTGGAGGAGCACAGGGCGGAGATCGGTGAGAGCAAGCGTTTCTGCACCCTGAGCGGTTGCCATGGGAGATTAAAGGATCAAAGCAACAGTCCAGTCATGATTTTGATGAGGGAATAACATTATAACATCACTTAAACCTCAAAAAAGTGGATTTTACATAATACTGATGCTTAATGTCAAAATTAAGCGATACTTTGTATCAAAGTGACAAAATGAGGAAGAGTTAAAAAGGTGTAAGAACCTTTGCATGGCATTGAATGCTATCTCTATTCTAGGCATGAACTCTTCCTCTGCAGCTAAAGTGAAAGTCTGTTCTGCCCGAGGTTAAGTTTGATACCTCTGCCTAATTATTTTTGAATAGATGACCTTTATTCATTATATGTGAACAGTTGTGTGGGTCACTAAAACCACTCCGGGGGGAGCTGGAGATCAGCTCCTGCTAAAAGATTCTCTGGTCTTTACTATAAATGACCCAAAATGCCCCCATAAGCTATAGAGGAGTCCATTACCCAGCTTGCCACCTCTGATTATCCAGACAGCAGAGTGTTGAAGGCTTTGGCAGGGAGAAGCAGAGAGATGCATCTCAAACAGCAGCTTGTGCAGCTGAAGCTGACGTGGGCTTCATGCTTGCTCTCCTCCTGTTCCTCCTCCTTTAAGCTCGCTCTCCCCCATCCCAATTAGCCGAGGAGCCAGCTGGAGGGACAGCAGAACTGCGGTGAAACTCATCGCTGCTCGTCGTTTCATCTCCTCCCCTCCTCTGCCTGTCTGCCTGCGTCCGCACACAAACGGCCAAATGCAGACAGACAGACTGTCAAAGCATTTAGACACAGCCAAACGAGTCCCGCTTTTATTGTCCCGGTCTATTTTTAAATGCTGGACGTGGAACTATTTTTAGGCCCCCCCCTGCATATGTAAGCGTTTGCGTGTGTGCAGCATTTGTCGGTGTATGTGCGCTGCGCGTGTGGGTGTCAGATGCAAAGTGTTTATGCCATTGCATTAAACCACGTCAAAATACCGCGCAGGTGAAAGGTCGGGGATGACAGATGAAGTGAAATGTGTTTGCGGGCCTGGTGCGTCGCTAAATCCTTGTATGGTGATCTGGCTCTGGTTCATCAGGCAACAACAGCTCTGCTCCTTTCACACTGAGGGAGTTAATGTAAACAAGTGGCTTTTCTTTCAAAGCAGATGTCAGATCAGTTATTTATTCATATTTTCACTTGTTTTAAATCGGTTTATCTGTCTTCATTTCTTTCTTTTTTCACATAACAGTGTGATGCGTGGTCGCTGTCTTTCTTTGCATGCAACTGGCTGCATAGTGAGCCCAGTAAAATAAAATACTTTCCCTGCCTCCGTGGATTTTAAGCTAAACATTCAGTTCTTCCTGATGGGAATCAGCGGACTCGTTTGCAACAAAAAGTTTAGTTACGGAGAACGCGTCAACAGGGCCATCATCCTTTACGAACATCCTGTTGGGTCCAAGGATGTCCTGCAACTTTTAGATCTGTCTGTCCGTCTGCACACCTGAGTTTAATAATGAGGTCATTATCAGGACTCTGGAGAACTTGACTTCATCCTGAGGAGGAAATTCAGACATTTGATAAATCTGTGTTGGACCAGGGACATCTTAAAGTTGCAGGACGTCGTCCCATAAAGACTGAATCTAGTTTTCTTTTTCATTGCTCCATCCACTTAAAGCTACCAAAATACTGCTCACTGCTGCCACCACCAGGCTTAACAGGTAGTGCATTGTTTTTGATTGAAACCCTTACATTAACTACTTCAAACATATTTATTGTCTTAAGAAGCTCAATATTTGCCTCATTTGACTATAAAGAGCTAGGGATAAACAAAGCTGGCTGAAAATAAGAATCTGGGATGGCCCAATCCCTGTTGTAAATTTGAAGGGGTATTTTTATGATGTTTGGGTTTTTGTAAAAGAAAAAACAACCAATAAAAATAAATAATACCATTTATGATAAGCGGACAGGACAGAAGTTCATTTATACCAACAAGAAGTGCATGTTTCTCTGCAATATTTTGAGAGTTTTAACACTTTTTCCGTTAGAGAAACTGGAGTGTATCGTTTCTTCTTTCCAAAATTCATTTGCAGTGAAATCACTTCACTGTTGGGGGGCGGAAAAAAAAAGTTGTTCAAATGCATAATTAAAAGCCTACATTATTATCCCTGTAGCTAAATTTCTAAGCTGAATGTGCGTGCAGTCGCTCTGAGAGAAACTTTCAGGAAAACTGTAAGGTGTGTTCCATTTTCGCAGCCTGTTATTTAGCCCAAGGCTGTCTTCCAGAGGCGAAGCATAACACCACCAGCCTCTTTCCATACTTTCCTCTTCAAACCGCTCCACAATGACAAACACAAAGGTTATTATGTGCGACAAGCACAAAAACAAAACATGAGTCAGCATTAGGAGAATGTCAAGCATCCAAGAGAGCCGTTACACAACTGCAAGTCTGTACGCTAACATCCAATATGCCCGTTAAGGATGGGAGTGCGTGATGCGAGTGCGTGGCGTGTTTTGCCGAGCGTTGCGAGTTATTGCATTGTTGCCGGGAGCAGAATGCAATGGCGTGCAGAACTGGGCGAACTGTCCTGATTGCCGTGTCCCATAAAATCTTATTTTGTTTGTTTGTTTCTGGGCAGCGGAGGACGTCATTGTTCCTGTGTGTGACAGCTAACCCTTCCACTGCCTTCCCCCCTACACACACACACACACACACACACACACACACACAACCATCCTCTTCCTCCTCCTCCTCCCACTCTTAACTCCACAGCTCTCTGCAGTGCTGCAGTCTGCTAAATTACTATCAGAGAGTCTGGAGAGACACATGCTCACTCCTTTCCTCTCGCCACCTCCTTCATGCCTTTTCCACTGTATCACCAGCGCACACATTCGCACACACGTCAGCAGACTGCTCAGCCCATATTTTGAAAAAAAAGAAGAAAAAAAAAGAAAACGGACAAAATCCTTAATGTGCAGGCTGACAGTTGTGAACGTTCACGCTCAGTGGGAATTGCGCTGGAACGCAGGGACAGATCTACATGTGGACACGCATGAATGCACTCGTGAGCAGGGCACACAGATGCTTCTCTGTGGCCTCTGAAAGTGTGGCTTCCTGCATTCTCCTCCTGTGGTTGTTCATTCATTTCTGCTTTCCTGCTGCCATACATCACAATATCCAAAAAAGATGATTACAAAGACCGGGATCTTCCGTGCATAAATTGTTAATGAGGGGAAAAGGAAAGAGACACAGGAGAAGTAGACACACACACACACACACACACACACACACACGCACACAGGTGCGTTGTCATGGTGTAGTCAGCATTTTAACCTGTGCTGACATTTACACTTAGTTCTCACCCCACACAGAAGGAAGGTGCTGGATACAGATGGTTAGGTGCAGATGATGGAGATTTTCTTTTTCCCCTTGCAGTTGTCATAAAATGCCACACACATGCTGAGCAGGCTTTTCTCCAGAGGGAAGCACATCTAGATATTAATAACAACCGTGTGTGTGTGTGTGTGTGTGTGTGTGTGTGTGTGTGTGTTGTTGCTTATACGAGCATTTTCTGAACATTAGCTGTGGGAAGATGGTAGAGAGTCTGCTGTCTTTTAATAACGCCGTGTTCCAAGCTCTAAAGGGTCAGTTCACCCAAAATTAGATTTTTTTTCTCACATCCTGAATGT